ACGTTCATCAGTTATGAGATTGTATATCCCGCGAAAGCTTGGGGGTCGCGGTCTATTAAATATCAAGACCCTACATAATCGCGAGGTATGCAATCTCAGAGAATATTTTCTACATACCGACGTGGGAGTGCATCGCAATGTAGTTGCAGTGGATACCGGCTTCACCCCGCTCGCTCTGGCTAAAGAGAATTGGCGCAGACCTGTAGTACTTGGTGTTAATGATCGCAGGGAAGTATGGAAGGGCAAAGAGCTCCATGGTCGGTTTTATCGGGCCCTAAACGGGTCCGATATAGATTTAAAAGCATCTACGACTTGGCTACGGCATGGTGATCTCTTTGGAGAAACTGAAGGTTTTGTTTGTGCGATTATGGACGAAGTTATCATGACGAATAACTATCGGAAATATATCCTGAAAGATGGTACGGTTGACATCTGTCGGGCATGCCACCGTCCTGGCGAATCAATCAGGCATATTATTTCTGGTTGTTCTCGTCTTGCTAACGGAGAATATTTGCACAGGCACAACCAAGTAGCCAGGATCGTACACCAACAGCTTGCCCTTAAATACCATCTTGTGAATCTAGAGGTGCCATACTATAGGTATGTGCCCGACCCAGTTCTCGAGAATGGTCGGGCCACGTTGTATTGGGATCGATCTATTATCACAGACAGGACTATTGTTGCCAATAAGCCTGATATTGTGTTGATAGATCGATTAGAGCGCCGCGCAATGATTGTTGATATCGCCGTTCCTCATGACGAGAATCTCGTGAAAGTTGAAAAAGAAAAACAAATTAAATATTTGGATTTATCTCACGAGATTGTCGATATGTGGAATGTTGATTCAGTGATCATTGTTCCGATAGTCGTATCTGCTCATGGATTGATAGCCAAGAGCCTCGACCAACACCTTAAGAGGCTTACGTTGGATGGCTGGATCAAGGGTCTGATGCAGAAGGCAGTCCTCCTTGACACGGCTCGTATAGTGAGGAGGTTCCTATCTTTGGAGTCCTAACCACCGGTGTCTTGGTCCCTGTACCCGATGTCGGTGGTCTACTATTTTTTATATTTTTAAATGTATTTTTTTTATAAAGTGTATATTTAAAAATGTAAATAATATGTATATAAAGTAAATAAAGATAATAATAATAATAATAATAAAGTTTATTTCAGACTTATGGTCCATATTTATGTTAGTATTTTAGTGTTAGTAACAATAGTGCTTAAGTTGATAGGTTAGTATTATTAGTAATTACATTTTTTTTACTTAAATTAACTATTTGTATAGACCTATGACTGTCCCCACCCATTGTTTCTGGAATGGGCAGTCCGGTCTGGCAGCGATCATTTTCAGAATGCTGTTGTCACTGTCATGTAGGCGCTGGAGTAAGGAAGCCGCTTTCTTTCGCATAATTGCGTAGAAATCATCTACGCGAGCCTCCGCGAACATACCTGATGCGCTACAGCGCTGCGGCAGCCCCAACAGCATCCTGAACGCATTATTATATTGAACACGCAGGACATTGTACGCCCGTCGCGTGTATGACACCCACAGGCCGCTCGCGTAGAAAGACTGACAAAACGCCCTAAAAAGGGTTACTTTGACATCCTCGCCACAACGAGCAAACCTGCGGGCAAGCATATTGCTCCTCACAGACAATGCCCTGCGCTCCCTCTCTATGTCTCCATCGTCCCTTAGGTCGGTCGTGACAATGTGGCCCAGGTACCTAAAACTATTTACAGTGTTTAGCGCTACGTCGTTGAGACTTATGGTCGGAACAATACGTGATTTCTGATTAGGCGCTTTAAATAAGAGTAGAACACTCTTTTTCGAGTTGTATATCAAGCCATGCTCCGCCGCATAGGCCTCACAGATCGATATCAACCTCTTCAACCCACTTATCGATGGACTGAGCAGCACCATATCGTCTGCATAGCTTATATTATTAACACAGGTTCCGTCAATATGGCAGCCGACATGTGTGCCGCTCAGTCGCTCGATAAGCCGGTTCATATAAATGTTAAATAGCAGAGGCGAGCTTAATCCTCCCTGTCTAACTCCGCATTTCAGCCTGTACTCGCCCGACAGAGTACCCACCCATCTCACTCGGTTCCTTTGATTAGAGTACCAATATCTGAGGAGGGAGGTGTACTTCGCCGGCACACCCGCATTCCTCAACTTGTCCCACAGTATATTATAGGCAACCAAATCAAAAGCTTTTGACAAGTCGAGGAAACACGCATATACCGGCGTCCTCCTCGCTGTGTAGTACCCGACAGTTCGCTTCATACTCAGAATAGCGCTCTCTGTTGAGACCCCTGCTCTGAAACCGAACTGTGCATCGTGCAACTCAACCTGTTCGTTGAGGCTACTATTCAGCAAACTGTCAAGCACCTTGGCTGTTGTGGTAGCGAGCGAGATAGGCCGGTAGTTACCTATATCAGATGTATCTCCCGTCTTGTTTTTAACTATAGGAACGACTATTGTCCGCATAAGCGGCTCCGGCAAATACGAGTGACCTATGCACAGGCTGTAAAACATAGACAGTACCTGGGGCAGATGAACCCCCGCATACTTAAGATGCTCGATACTGAGCCCATCGTGACCAGGTGATTTTCCACGCTGCATTTTTTGAATAATGTTAGCCACACTCTTTGCAGATATCTTTCTATTCCGCCCCATCACAATGGGGTCACCATCGCTCACCTCACCAGACGTGGGACTCAAGGGAGACCGCACAGTAAAGTGCTCTCTAAAAGCCTCGGCAATGTCCTTGTGGTCAGCGCAACCACCGATACTCATAGGGAGGCTAGACCGACTGTTCATTTTTTTTTTGGTATGTTTCCAAAAATTTTTAAAATCCTTAGATGAGTGGTTCGATGCAAGGATATCCATTTCAAATTGCTCTTGGCTAGTCTGACACCATTTCAATTTGGCTTTAAAATGTCTCCTCGCCTCCGACATCTCATCAAAGATTCGACCATTAGCTGGTCGCCCAGCCAAGTTCCACATTTTAAATTTGAGCCGAGCCTCCCTATGTGGGCCCGCTACGTACTTATTCCATCCAAAGACATAACCACCCTTCCTGCGACATTTTTTTCTATATGTTTGAATGGCTGCTCTTGAAAGCGTGTCAGTAATTTGCGCATACAATTTATCAAGAATCAAGTGATGTTCACTGTCACCACAAAAGCTATCACAACATTCACTTAACTCCTTTGGAAAATCTATCAATCGTAGTTTAGAATGACAAATATCATGGTATTGATTAATTTGCTGTACCTGTCTCTCGCCCCACATGACACGGTTTACAAGTTTATTCGGTACCGATTTCTTAACTTTAGGCTTAAGCTTACTTAAGTTACATTCCACTACGAGTGGATAATGGTCCGACCAATACACGTCGTAGTGCACAGTCACACCAATAACTGACTCCCGAGCTGACTCTGTGACGATGCAGTGGTCCAACCATCTAGTACAGCCGTGAATATCACTACAAAATGAATAGGTAATCACTACAAATATCACTACAAATTAAGCATACTATTTGATTTTTCTTCACACTTAACAACCCAACGTATTGTAGTACACCTGTATCGCTGTCCCAACAGAACAATAAAGCGCAGCATTACTAGTAGGTACGTCGTACAACGAACCAACGTAGACACTATTAGACAGAGTAAGCAATAGGTAGTTTTAGTACTGGCTTGAAGTTGACACTGTGTACTAATAGAGCAAAATGTCCGATTAACAGGTGCTTTTCGGAAACATTACTTTTAGTACAATACCCAGTACTAGTACCTATCAGTGCATCGTACGTGTACTACCCAAGACTAGTTCTGAGCCGTGTTCACCTTTTGCTGATTATGTATGTACCTACCCAGCTTTTGAAAATGCTATTTCGCAAGGGAAAGAAGTTAAAACACACACTAATGCTACAGTCTAATATTACTCTATTTTACGATATTGTTTAAAATCCTAACCTAAACGTTTTAGAAATAACTCAATACCTATTTCGTTAAAATAATCGCTAAGTCAAAACTTATTCACTTTTAGTTTAAATTACTATAAATATCAAATTAAAAAACAACTCAAGTCAACCATTTCTTTACACTATATTATATGGTGTAAACTTTATACGTCTATAGGTTATTTAACGTATGAAATATTAACCTATCCTTAGCGAAAAAACACTCACATTTCTATAAATTCAGCTCGCGACAAGGTATTGACTTACTGAGGTATAACTTATTGATGATAATAGTAAAAAAAAGTGTTAAATTAAAAAAAAAAAAAAACTTTTAATCTTCACCTCTAACTATGCGAAAGTGTTATAGGAGGAGGCACTTTGGAAGTTAAGCGTTCCATAATATATATTTACTCAAACTTAATAATTTTATAAATACTTGTTAATGATTATTATTGTTTAAATCTTGGATAATATCCTTAGATTGACTGAATCGCACACCTTCGTCTGGGGTCTCTCAATAGGAATAAACTTTGTCCTTTTTTCAACATTTTCATTGATGCCCGGCTCAAATTCTTAATAGCGTAATGTTATATAGCCTATAGAACATCAAGGTGTAGCCTTCCTCGATAAATTAAATAAATATTAGACTATTAAAGAATTTCAATTCGAACCAGTAATTCTTGAGATGAGAACCATACAAACTTCTTATCTTCATAATATTAGTGTTAATCCAAAGCGTCTTAAATAACTGTTCTAGAATTTTAAGTATTAACATTTTGAAGGCAACTATTTCGGTTGTCGAAAAACAAGCCATTTTCTTGAACACTTCTTATTTTACTATGATTTGTTTTAATATGTGGGGTCTGAACACATAATATTTTGAACATACTACTTGTTAGTAATTGGAAATATAAGTAAAATATCTAGACACACAGAACCAGCACGGCAATAGAAAATAATTAGATTTAAATTAAATACACCGCAAATTGTATTAAATATATAAAAATAAATGTTATCAAGACTACTCACAGCTGAGACTTCAAAATCTTGTTTGTGGCTACAGAAGTTGAGTAAGTACGCTGCACCTCACAGGACATTCACAACTGAATGAAGAATAACGAATTAGCTTTGCTGCTTTATACACAAGAAAAATGATACCAGCCTAAACCAACGACACCGTTTTTTTTTCCTGAAAATCGTCTATAATTTAAAAAATAAAGTAATATGTAAATGGCTATATATAGTAACTACTTGTGTATGTTGAATTAAGTAGATCTAGAAGAAAAACGAATATATTTATAATAAAAAGTTGCAAACAATCTACAAAAAATACCATGAATTATTGGAAAAAATTATAATTTTTGTAACACTGCACTAATTAGGTCTTTTAAGCATTACAAATTCAGGAAGCCCCGTTCATAGACAAACTCTTTTCTTACGTGATGCGTAGAGGAATTAGAAATAGATTAGAAATGTTATAGCTATTATTAATTAGCTATTAGAAAAAGTACTAAGTACGTTAATATTGTACAGAGTAGGTACACAGAATTAGTTTGTTATAAGTGGATAATTAAGTGCGATTAAACATAACGATTTCGAGATCGTGTCACGTTAATAGGAACAAAACAAAAACACTTAGCATGTTAGTTTTAACCGACTTCAAAAAAGGAGGAGGTTCATCTGAATCTTTAAAAAAAAAAGAATTTTTTCTAAAATTTTGACTCAGAAAAACATGCTTCGGAAGTGATACACACATTGATATAATACTTACATAGATGAGTAATTACCGCCTAAAATCGTTGCTACTGCACATATGTCCACAGGCATATGCGTAGCAAACGTCAATTCATTATTCAATGTGGCGTCAACCGAGTTGAACATAGCGACACATGACAGTAACAATCGCCAAAATGGCTAAATGCGTAGTGAAAGAATGCGATTCAAGGTCACAAAACATTAATAAATCATGCGGAATTACTTTTCACGTGTAAGTTTATGGTTTTTGTATTGATAATATCGTAAATAAGGCTATAATTGAAATAAAACACTGATAATTGTAATTTAGAATCAGTGTTACCATTAAAAAATCATTTTGGTTTTCCCACATTAGTGGGAGAATTTATAATTTATGAAATAATATGCTTTATACTGTTTTTAAACATTTTGCCAATAATAATAAAATATAGGAGGAACGGTAGTTGTTAGGGCTGGACCGATCACTTTTTTTAGGGACCCGTTGAACGTTCACTGCGAGCTTGGCAGAAGTGCCAAGCTCGCAGTGCTGGAGACTTTTGTACAAAAAAATTAATTCATTGTTTTTCTTAATTTATTATCAATTTTAAATAATAATTGTACAAAATAATAATAATAAATGTTTATCATAAAAATAAAAATATAAAATAAAAAAAGTAAATAAACATAAATATTTTTTTTTATAAAATAAAAATATTTTTTATTTTTTTATTTTTATTTGTTTTTTAAATTATAATAGAATTTGCAATACACCCTGGGGATTATTTATTATCAGTACAAGTTGATCATTCACTTTTATTATTAAATGCTATTATTTTTACATACGTAAAAATAAGATTGTATCATGAAAGTAAAATATCCACACAAACTTATAAAAAAGAGTCTAAAAGACAATTGTATACAAAACTGATGCTTCACAGCGCAGTTTGATTTTACACTGAATATAAACCCTTTTAACCAAATATTTCCAGTTATTTTATTATTTATACCTATTCTATTCAATTCGAAATATATTATTTAGAATATTTAAATTAATTTATTTTATTACAAAATCTGTTTTAAAAAAAAAGTTGTTTCTTAGTTGTTATGGGTAAAATTTCATACGGTAGTCAACACTGGCCCACCATCGTAAAGTTATATCTTTGTCTTTGTCTAATCCGAGCGATGGTATTGTTCTTGTCTCGCGTGTAAATGAGACATAAATATGTTTACTTTCAAATGTTTAGTGGTATCAAAGCTACGTCGTCAAAGTTCAAAAGTGGTTACACTTTTTTCGACGTGTGATAATGAGGTTTGCTTCTCTAGTGTTGTTTTAACTCAATGGATACACATTACACAATGCCGGTGTTGCCTTTCATCATTAAGGTTACAAGAGGATCAATAGCCCTCTAGATGTGGAGGGAGGGGAAAGGCACACTCAAAAGGGTGGTAATGTACTAGTGTATCTTGTGGTGACGGTAAGTGCCTACCGCTACCTATGGACGCTTGCAGTCCATAGGTAGCAGTAGGCACTTACCGTCACCACCGTGACGCGTCTGCTCTATATCATAAACATAGATATTGACATTTCGCCATTAAAAGTTTAAAATGAAACCTTAGTAAGAGTTATTGGCCATTTTAGTTATGTGTGAAAACCCCCTCGGGCCGTCATCCCACTGGGAATCGAACCGACTATAACCACACAGTGTGCCACTCTGCGCCTGTAATTTATTGGAGTTATTAAGAAATCCAGACCTAGCCTTATTGGGCCATAAATCAAACTTTTCACATTCCATAGCCAGCTCCTTTTTTACTACTGCGCAATTAGCCTGTAAAATATATCTTATTACCTACAGAAATTGTCTTTATTTCGAATCTGCTCGTGTCTATCTTACCGGCGTTCGAGGGGGATTCGTGATGCAGACAACTAAACTTGCTGTAACTCGAGATAATCTTAACCAGCAATTAGGACACCCGAATTCAAGGATTGAATATTAACATCTCCGATTCGACAATCCGATTTGAGTAAATTCTTATATTATGACAGACTATAAGAATTTACTCAAATCGGATTAAATTGACTGACAATTTATTAAAAATTGTCATAAGCTAAGTAATTCACATAACCAGTCAGTTGAACATGTTTTATGTAATTGAGTAGTGAACTTAGATCGAATGTTTAAGAAAAATTCGAACATTCCAGAATGTTCTACCATGTTCTAGAACTTTCTACAAGATAAGCCTGATCTATACCCGTACTATTGTATACCCGTTGTGAGGCGGTAGGTATAGATTCTCCGTGTAAATGCTCGTTGTTAATTGCCGTTTACTCTTTACTATAATTTAATGGTGGTGGTGTATTTATTTAATTACAAAGCTCAAATCGTAACCATATTTTAGACTTAAGTTTAATCATTAAGCATGTAGACAAGTAGGCCGCTTGCAGAATTCTATCAGTTATTTACTAGCACAAATATTACAGTAGAACATCGAATCTGATTACTTGGCATTTCAGGAACTAAATTAATGTTTAACTAAACCAGTGTTGTAAACAAAGGGCTTACTATGAGCCGTCGATATGAACATATTTTACTTCAAAGTAACTATGTTATAACAATCGACTTTTTTATACTATTAAGTTTTGAAGCAGGCACACCTACTGCGTTACAAATTTCTTAGAATTCAGCGTTACAACCATGGAGTAAATACAAAGGTCACAACTGTCCGTGTTTTGACAGATTGAAGATTAAAGAGCACCTATCTATCACCACCTCATTCATCCCGTGGGTGTCATAAGAGCCGACTAAGAAAGAAGACTAATTAGCGGCCAAAACCTCCTTTCTAAGGAAAGGCTATTATCTAGCAGTGGACTATTAAAGGCGATTATTATTATTATTGTGGATGTGATTTGTGAACGTTTTTGCTTTTCGATGTGTTAATCTGTTTCTTATTTCTTACATACTTTACCGTTAGACAGCTATGCTATCTTTACATTACAGAACATACGGGCTAGGCTCAACCGCAGTGATACCACAGCCTTACAGAAAACAGGTTTTAGCAATTATTTTCTTACTTTTAACCGAGTGATTGAGGTTAACGGCGCCCACAAACCCCACACCCCCTGATTCTGGGAGTAGGGACTCAAGGGCGGTGGTAGTCAAAAATAGGTCAAAAATAGGTCTGTACCCCATAAGCCCTTAGCCTGATACTTAAAGAACATATACTTGAACAAAAGGCCGGCCTTCGGGTCGTCATTTTACCGGGGTTTCGTAGGGTTCTGTGCCCACGTCAAACCGTTGGCTAAATTTCATGAAGATCGGTTAAAGAGTATAAGCGTATCAAACTAACAAATAAACAAACAAAGTCACTTTCACATGTATAATATCAGTTACGAAGTTAGGTTAGATACAACATTAAACAGTAGACAGTATTGCTACGTTACATTGCAATGCTAATTGTTTGTGCTAGAATACTGGTCACGAGAAGTGTTGATCAGCGCTTTTGCTATTCTTTTGTTCTTTCTTAATAGAACAAGCACTCGGACCCCATGACCTTTGTTGTCTCGACCCCAAACGGTTCAAAAACATAATATAGATGTAAAATAGATAGGTACATACATGACATTTGTCAACTAATGTCGATTTTTTAATTAACAAATTTGGAGTAACATCAAACACTACGACAAAAAGTACTATGGTTTATTAAATCTTCTGGTGTGTTTACGAACATATATGTATAGTATCATAATAAATAACCTTAACAATATTTTTTGATCATTTTTATGATTTATAATTAATTCGGGGCTTCCCCCAATGTTTTACACTTTCATGTAATTCCCACGAATACCCATCTATTAAAAAACAATTTATGGTACCTACATTTCATATTCTAAGTATGTTGTGGTGATCGTTGACAGTACCAAAGCAAACAGTACTTAATTACTTCTAAATCTTAACTCATGTTAAATACTTAGCAATCATAGCAGTTGATAGGAATAGAGAAACTACTCCTTAATTTATTGAGAAATAAGTCATTTCTTTTATTAAACGCTTTAATAGATACACACCACACGAATCTATTTATGTGAATTCAGGTTATTGGTTTATTTTAATCTTTTTATATGTCAATTTATTTATTATTTTCAGAAGTTAGTTCCCGCATTTGAAATATATTAATATTTATGAAACACACAAGGAACAATCAGACTCAGAACAACAATATGTGGATCACACAAAGCATCTAAAACCACCATTTACACACATTACGCAATACATGCCATTCGTGCAGTCAAGATGTGGTCACCTACTTACTACATCATTAGAATCGTTCCAAAATTATTTCAGTCTTCCAAAACAGTTCTCCTGAAGAAGCCATGGGCAAAAGCATTACCTTTAACTTGACCATATCTAATGACGACATATGAAGACTTATACTAACACTAAGTAAATTCTAATCCTGTATCGCGATATGAGTAATTCGCACGCCGATTAGTTTATATATAACTTCAAAACATCAACCGTTGGGCAGCGGCCCGCCAGCCATGATCACCTCGCCTGCGTGGTCCACCCGTTCCTCCACAGGGTAATCTCTTGGTACCAGTGACTACCGCCGCTCATGGTTGCCTGCAACTTAAGAGTGACCAGTGTGTAGCAGGGCTTTTTCAACACATTTTTCTTGAAAGCTTGAAAGTCGTATTCGAATAGAAAATAAACGAAAAATACCGCAAGTGGAAATTTAATATCATTTAATGTTGCTTTACAACAGATTGCTCTACAAATTGATGAAGGCGTTTAGTTTCAGAATTAACTAGGGATGCTTTCTAAATATGGAGGGTAGAGGCAAGTAGAACCATCTCTGTGTATGAGTGTTCCCCATATTGATTGAAAACATTAGCTTTCTTAACTTCTTCTATATACAAACATTAAGTATTCCATATATCTTACGCTCCCGTGTGCCGCAGCGTCGTGTTTGTTTATAAACCGGCCAAGTGCGTGTCTGGCTACACGCAGTGTAGGGTTCCGTAGTCGCTTGTGACAACATAATGGGAACTTATAAGAGGGCTTTATATTTTGACTGTTTAACAGCCAATGACGTTATAAAACGGGTACACAAGATGTAAAAACTGACAAACCGAACAGTGATATCTAGTCACGCCACGTCACGCTTTAAAAACTAACAAGCAAATAAATTACATTCCCATGCATGTTTCATTTCAGGCGACTACTACTCCTAAAATAACATAACTAACTTATCCGTTAATCGTTATAGTTTTCATTTCAAATTCGTTATACATGTTATCATTTTTTGTAAATTGTTCAAGCCAACAGTTTAGCTTTTAGAGTCAGGGCAGCAGACGCCCCAGTCTAACAAAAAAAAACACTTTATAGTTCAATATTTCGTAAACGTATAGAAAAATAGTCTTAACAACCCCTTTCTTTTTTTTTCCGTGCGGAAATCCCCTCGGATACCACCTATCGGTGGTATGTCGGACTCGAACCGACTAAAACCGCACGCCGTCTCAGGTACTAATAGCCGGGGAACCAGGTATACCTACCAGGACCTACCTCGGGCCATCTACAGACGAGTAGACGACCCCCCCCCCCGTGTGAGAACCCTATGTTCCCTCCACTCGCCTCCACCCCGGCCTTCTTCTGCTCTCAACCGACGCCGGGCACCCTGCCAGCGTGTGGAGAGCCGTGTCCACGGTCTGGCCATCGCAATGGTGGCACTCAGGCGTTGGCTCCTTGCGAATCAGACACAGGTGATCCCCGACACATAGTCTTAACAACCCCTCAATAATTTTAAAACAGCTATTCAATGATAAGCCATACTATGGGGGCTCAATGTGCAACATTGCAATTGGTTTTGTCAACTATGGCGGCCTTCTGCCAGAAAACAGTTAACTCTCCCTGAGAATTTTCATAGGGACAAAGAAGATTCTGAGTTGGGGTAAAAAAGCTATGGTAAGAGATGCACTAAGAGAACAGGGACTGAAGCTTGAAGGGACAGCTTGAAGAAGCTAGAGTCGCATACCCGTGTGTGTTACGTGAATATAATTCTCTGGTTAAGAGTATGAGTAAACCAGTATTAATTAGGTGAAACCCAAACAATTCGATTTTCTAAAACAATAACGTACTTAATGATAAGGGAACAGGAATGTAGTTACCGTAACAGGAAAATACTTAAAAACACTTAGGTAATATTTTAAATAGCACCAAAACGGTAAACAATTTAATGGTGGTGCGTAAAAATAAATATGTAAATGTATGGAGTATGTGCAACGTAAATATAATCTGGCTAAGAAAAAGAAACTAATATAAATATGCCACCACGTAAATGTCGGTTATCGGGGTAAAAAGTAGCCTGTCTTTTCTCAAGAATCAAAGTATCTTCATACCAAAATTTCATCTAAATCGATTTAGCGGTTATGGATTCCCCGCATAAACTTCCACAGCCCTTTTTAGCAACTTAAAGTATAATTTATGGGATAAAAACTACCCTTTAACTTAAAACTTAAACTTTCCCGGAACTCGGACGATCTCTGTACCAAATTTTATCTAAATCGGTTCAGCGGTTTAAGCGTGAAGAGGTAACAGACAGATGGACAGAAAGACAGACATACTTTTGCATTTGACTATTAGTATGAATTAGTATGGATAATGGAAGGCAGTCTCGAGAATATTTGTATTCTTTTTGATCTTAAAGGAAAATAAAATTACTTAACAGTGGTTTGCTGTGACGCCGTGGTATCACTCCTCCCACGAAAATTAGAATGGATGTTGGTTATTTAATAAATTTCGGCACCGAGATAGATTTATATTCTAGCAAAATAGTATTTGTGTCAACTTCTACATACAATCAAACAAAAAACATACCTACCTCTGTAACGAAGACGATAAGTAAGTGACTAATAATAAACAGTAAAAAGAAAGTGAATGGGTCATAGTCGATGACCGTTTGACAGAGGAGGTGGCTGAGCTCGGCGCGGGTAAATCACCTAGAGCGACAGGGCTCGCCCCTACAGCAGCCTCCTCCACTCACGGTGCCGGAGACGTCTCTGATGCTTGACAAATACTTGACGCAATCCTGGAGGCGAGAGACGAGGCTGCCTAAGCCAGCGGACAGGCCGAAATCGCCGACTCCGTTTAGCGTGACTTATGCAGCGACGGCGTCAGCGTTCATAACGGCCGAACTAAATCTAACTTATCGTAGTTTTTTTCCTTACTTTAGTATAAAATATAAGGCAATATGTATAAAATAACGGGGAAATCCGTCTTATATATTCGTTTGGATAAACGGAATAACCCCTATTGTTTTTTCAGTAATTTAAAGTCGACGGCGGTGGACGTTTATTATTTACGGGAGTGCCTAATTCAAACCTTTTTTTTATCGGTTCCTTTCTTTGACAACCACCTCTCGGGTCATCCTTGGTCATCAATATCGGATTCATTTCAAATATTTTGTTCTTATCAGTAAAAATATGAGAATTGGTGAATTAAAAATTACTGCATATAAAGTGAATAAAATATCTGGAATCTAGTTAAACATCACTGAATGTTCCCATTGCCTTTTTTCTCTTTTTTTTTTTAAATCAATTAACCAATAAGATGAAAACGTGCAAATATATGATTTTAAGGTTTTTGACTTTATTGGTAACGGTAACGAGAAGTATAGGCGAATCTCAAAAACGAAGTAAGTAATTAGGTTATTAAAGTTCAATAAAACAAAACCTACTTTGGTTTAGTGGTTAGTGACCTTGATTGCTGAAGACAGAGGTCGTATGTACAACTCCCACCCAGAACAAATATTTTGTGAGGAACACGATAATTTGTTTTACCCGACCCGTTTTTCGAGAGTATCTATGTATGTATGTATTATTGTGTGGCACGCTTTGCAGTCCAAACGGCTCGTTGGTTTTGTCCCGCAGTCGGGAGTTTTGTTTATTCAATAATTAGCTTGTTTTGTATAACATGTATTGTAGAAATATATGAGTGTGTTTATCAGCACTCTGGTTACTATAAGGTAGGCTGTACCTGATTTGGGATCTTATGACTGTGTGTGAGATGTATCAATTTTAGTTAAAAAGGTAAGGCATAGTAGGGAACAAAGAAATGATAAGCAGATTAGATACAGCTTTAATACCACCGGTCGTCTTCAACGGCTCAGTTATACCTTGGAGCCTGGTAGGGTATACCGTAGAAAGGAAGTCCCTGGTGCCCGACATACCTCGGGTCATCTACAGACGAGTAAACGACCTCCCCCCCCCCCCGTGTGGGAACCCCATGTTCCCTTAGTCAAAGACCCTGGCCTGCTAATCGACTCAACCCTTGATTGGAATGCTCAAGTAAATCATGTGTGTCAGATAGTAACCGGAAACCTGCGCAAATTATACGGTCTTTAGAATTTCCTGCCTTTCAAAACGAAAATCTCTTTCCTTCAGTCCCCAATTATCACTATAATTGACCATGGTGATGTGTGTTACTTCGACCTGAATGCAGACCTCCTTAATAAGCTAGACCGTTAGCTAGACTCTTAATAACTGCATTCGATGTATATTCAATCTTCGAAATTATGATCACGTGTCTGCTTTACGTTCTGCTTTAATCAGCGAGCGCTGACCTCTCTCTTTTTATTCTTCAACTCTCTAGTCTCACCCACTTACCTTGATCCGTTTCCTGTCCGCTAATCACGAGAGAAATCTTTCCTGAAAAAATTTGCTTCTCCTGTGTCCCTTCCATAATTCCGACTTCGTGAACTCTTCGTTCTTTGTGCAAGCAGTACTGCTCTGGAATGCGCTCCCTCTTGAAGTCAGGATGTCCACAAACCGTTTCACATTTAACAAGAATAACTACTTTTTTGAGATGGCGGAATTATCTAATCAATAGTAGGTGAACCTCCTTATTTACAGTATACGAATATAAAGTATATGTATGTATGTATGTGTGTGATTGTATTTGTTAGTTAAAACTTTATAACTACTATTATAACTACTATTACTAACCTCAGTGCACCTACCTTATAAGATTTCTACGCCACCCAAAGGTTGGCTGGTAGAGGACCGGGAGAGGTTTAGAACTCTCCCGGCCCGCCAGGCCCGGGCACGGGCCAGGCAGCGCAGGCGACTCAGGCGCCGGAGGTCGCAGAACGACCTCCGTCCTCCATAAGCGCAGGCCTGGGGGTGACAGGTGAGGCCATCTGTCACCCTAGCAGAAGCAGGCCGGGGTGGCGGCGAGCGCGTTGCGAAGCGCGCTCGCTTCCAGGGAGCACAGGGAACATGGGGTTCCCACACGGGGCGGGGGTCGTCTACTCGTCTGTAGATGACCCGAGGTATGTCGGGGCACCAGGGCCTTCCTTTCTAGGGTATACCTGGTTCCCCGGCTATTAGTACCCGGCGAAGGCGTGCGGTTTTAGTCGGTTCGAGTCCGACATGCCACCGACAGGTGGTATCCGAGGGGATTTCCGCACGGAAAAAAAAAAAAAAAAAAAAAAAAGGGCATTAAGTCGACCGATGTACACAAGTGTATAAAGTTGTAAATAAATAATAAAGTGTATTACTTTACGACATTACTTTGGACTAAAAGTAATATTAACTAGCAGGGCAGGGCGGGCTACTAGTATTTGCTATTAAATTATTAAAAGGTCATACACCGACTGACACACGATCATTTATTATCATTTCAGGTCCAACTGCTTCAGAGTTCACTAGACACACTGTAGTCCAGCCTGTCTTGCTACATGGAACAACTAAAAGAAAGATCTCCACTACCAGAGACGAGGTTAGCTTTACAATTTTAAACTTTAAATATATTCTATAGGCCCCATACTTTCGGTAGGTTTTTTTTCATTAAACTCATGAGTTCAATAAAAAGTCATTTCTGAATATTTAACTTAGCATAGTTTGGCAAGAATGTTTTGGCCAACCCACTAGCGATTTATTTTTAACCTATACTTTTTATCCATTATACAGATGGCCAAAGGTCATTTCTAATTCGGATCCTCTACTATTATAATATACTCTTAAATATCCCCTTGCCAAATTCGGCTACGGCGGCTGCTGCCTGTTTATTGGAGGACTCGGATGATTAGCTCTGTCACGTGCCATGCACTTAGGTGACTGCAGTAGCCAACTTTATTTTTAAGTGTATGCGAACACATTATTTTAATTGTAAAATATGGCCCTTGGTGGTCCAGCTTTTAGGGCATCGCACCTCCGATCACGAGTATATCGGCTTTGCACTGCTCTTCAAAAGTATCTACTTTTTGCTGTACTAAGTGACTCCATTCAAGTCGTCAATTTTCTTTGTTCTCCTACCTTAAAAATATATTTAAAAATAATGACAATCAATGGTTTTGTAAAAAGAAATTCTGTCATTCTGGTGTTGACCGTTATGGCCGTTAAATATAGCGCTGGGTCAACATCATCTTCTAACTAGTGATGTACTAGATTGTTAAAAGTGAGTGTTAGTCTGAATATGGATAAATACTTATTCACGAATACCTAAAAATATTCGGACATACGTTTTTTCTCAGTTAATGCTAATAAGACGGTCTTAAAACGACGTCAGTTCACGTTGAAGACTAAACTTGCACTGGCTGTTGTTTTTTAAATAATCTAATACAAAACAAAGATTTGCGCCTTATAAGATGAAATGAAATATTTATTGACATAAAAGTGTTACATATTCTGACCCCTGAACTGTTTTAAAGTGTATTATAGGAGCCAGTGAGTACACTTTGTCACATCTTTATGTGGTCATGTCAAAAAAAAAAAACGGACAAGATAATCAATTAACACATTAAAATGTTTAATTTGAGCAAAATAAAATAAATTAAAAAATGAATTATAGAAGAATGATAATAAAATAGGTATAATAAGAAATGCAAAAGTACCGTTAAAGATCTGCATCAGATATTTTTCTCGGATATCTGTGGATTCGGATACAATTGACCTTGCCCTTGACCTTGATCTAACCTAACCTGCGGTAGTTACCTTTTACTTATTGTGCTTTCATCGCTACATACGAGGGTGCGTTTTTAAGTTCGCGGAATGAGAGGGTTGGAGGGGGGTGATTAGGCTCATTAGAATCGTCACGTGTTCAGTGACTCATAATTAGTGTAAATACCAGGTTTCATTGTTATTAGACAATTAGTCTTTGAGTTATCGTCAACCAAGCAACATTATCGGGAGTGAAAAGTGAAACATGGAAAAAATCGAATATCGTGCCGTTATAAAGTTCCTTACCGAGCAAGGAAAATCAGTTGCGACCATAATGAATGAGATGTCATTGGTTTACGGCGACTCTTGTCCAGGATAAACCATGGTGTACAAATGGCACAGTTTATTTAAACAAGGAAGGGAATCCCTTGAAGACGACTCGAGGCCGGGCAGGAGCATCGAGGTGGTCACGCCAGAACTTATCCAAAAAGTCGAAAAAATTGTACTCGACGATGCTCGGCTAAAGAAGAAACAGCTCGCAGAAATGGTTGGAGTATCTGATACAACCATTTTTAGAATTCTGCACGATCATTTTGGCATGACAAAGGTCAGTGCAAGATGGGTGCCGAGAATGCTCACGCCGACGCAAAAACAACAGCGCGTAGAGTGTTCACGTGCATTTTAAGACCTTTGTAATGAAGACAAGGATGCTGTATTGAGTAGAATTGTTACTGGAGACGAAACTTGCGTTTATCATTATGAACCTAAGTCGTAACAAGACTAGGCATAAAAAGGGCACAGCACCTCCCAAGAAGTTTAAGGTGTCACAGTCAGCTGGGTAACTCATGGCAACGATCTTTTGGGACTCAGAAGGTATATTATTGATCGATTTTAAAGATAAAGGTGTTTGTATAACCGGAGAATAATACGCTTCAATATTAGAGCGACTCAAAGAAGCCATTAAGGAGAAAAGACGGGGAAAGTTGACAAAAGGTGTGTTGCTTTTGCACGACAACGCGCCCGTCCACAAGAGCCGCGTTGCGTTGGCTGCCCTGCATAAGGTGGGCTTCGATATTTTGAATCACCCACCCTACAGCCCAGACCTGGCCCCCAGCGATTATTACCTGTTTCCAAAAATGAAAAAAGAGCTGCGGGGTAAAAAATTTACCAACGATGATGAAGTCAAGGACGCAGTTTCGGCGTATTTTGATGACAAAGAGATAACATTTTTTTATGAGGGTATAAAGAAATTAATTGAAAGATCTGAAAAATGTATGTCTTGCAGGTGAATATATTGAAAAGGAAAAATAATTTGTTTTTTTTTATTTCCACCCCTTATCCCCCATTCCGCGAACATAAAAACGCTCCCTCGTATATATGCAGATTTTGTAACAAAATACCAGATACAGATATTTTTCTCGAATATCTGCGGATTTTGATACAATTGACCTTGATCTGACCTAACCTGCGGAAGTTCCCTTTACTTATTGTGCTTTCATCGCTACACATTAATATACAGATTTTGTAACAAACTACAACATGCAAAACAAAAAATTAAAAATAGTATGTAGGTAAATGTGAACGAAAATTAATGGTTATTTATATTTTAGAGCGGTGCGCATCATTTAGAGGTGATATTGAAGGTTCTTATAGACGATGAGGAATACTTAGTCGATCTTAGACTGAACTTGGAATTAGTGACCGAAAATCATGTCCTGAGTTATCAGAATAACGGCACAACTGTGCTGTACAAGCCTCATAAAGAGGTAAGTGATACTGCTGACTTTAGAATAGAATAGAATAATCTTTATTGTACACCAATTCAGGATATTATATGTACATACAATAGCACATACAATATGTATGACTTTATTGAGGCAGTCATTGTCGGTTGTTGAAAATAGTCTGTTTCACCTAATGGTCAGTTGATTTTGTTATCCTAGTGCCCTTTTCAATCACAGGATGGCTATACGGGAGACGACCTCGGTCTCCATGAGCTGTTGTAGTCCCATTTCATCCAAGATCTGTGGTATCATTCACCATAACTCACTAGCCATATCCATTTTCCTTACCCCAAATGTTTCGTAGTTTATAGGGCTTACGAGCAGATGCCTGATGGCGTGATGGTAATTATCTTCCGCCGTCCATGTACACCTGGCACAAGTGCATTCCCACCCTTTAAACCCGTAGCCTGAGGTATTTTGCCGTAGGCGTATTGCCGTCACCCGGGTGCTTTAGGGCTTAGGTGGGAAAATCGGGGGGATCATGAAAAGAAAGGTGATTAGAAGGAATTAATGTTTAAACAGATGGATTAGGGGGTTTAAGCATAAGCTCGTGCAGGTCAGGTTCACATACCTGAAACTCGACCAGGCTGTTCCTTGAAAGTCAGAGACCTCAAATCTCTAGCAGATTTTCTATTATCTCAGTATTTCCTTAGGTTTTAGTGCGAGAGAATTCTTTAGACATTAGTCCATAATATTATGTGTAACAGAAGGGCATAAAGTCAAAGTAAATAAGCACAAGTTTATTTCAGGAAATAGAGTCGTGTCACTACAGTGGGTCGGTGCGCGGCAAGTCTGAGTCTTGGGTGGCAGTATCTACCTGTCATGGAATCCAAGGCCTACTGTTTGATGGCGAGAGAACAAGATACATCGAGCCTCCCCAAGGTGAGACTTGTTATACCTCAGTAGCTCGAGTATGCTACACTTTTTGATTAAAGCTAATTAATAGCCCTAATTTCTTCTTTCGATTTGAACACTTTCTAGGGGTATGCATTTTAGATAGTTTTTTTTTAAATTACAACTTTATGCACTTGTATACAACGGCGGGCTTAATGCCCAAGGCATTCTATACCAGCCAACCTGTACTGGCCCCCAGCAGCCCCAAGGCGGTAGAATCTGGTGAGGTAGGTGCACTGAGATTGCAGTTGCTATAGTAGTTATAACTAACATATACAATTACATACACACATACACATATACATATACACATATATATTTTTACTTGGGATCCTGTCATAAGCTTCGTCTGTGATCTTTTCAAAAGCATTCCAACTATTACGAGTAAAGTAGTGAAATGTCAACCAACACAAGTTTTGTTTAGTATCATAATACCATAAACGATAATAAACCGTCGTAACCGTAACGACCGTCTTCTTAATAACTGCATTCGATTCATTTTTAATCTTCGTAAATATGATCATATTTCCTCCTTTCGTCTTAAATTAAATTGGCTCTCAATTCGTCAGCGTCGTCACCTGCGGGCACTAACGACTCTCTACATTATTCTCAACTCTCCTAACTCGCCTACATACTTGACATCCTCCTTCCAGTTCATGTGCTCCAATCATAACAGAACCCTTCGCTCTACAAATAATCTTCTACTCTTATGCCCTGCCCACATTTCTGCGTGTGTTCATTCTTCCTTCCTCACTCAATCTGTACTTCTATGGAATGCTCTTCCCCAGGATATCAGAATGGCGACCAGTTGTAATTCGTTTAGGCCGAAGGTGCGGGCTCTCCTTGACCGGAATGTAGCGGAATCATCACAAATATGATACTTTATATATTCTGGTATATATGTATGTGTATATATATAATATATATGAATATGAATGTATTCTTGTATGTATATTGTTGTTATTTTTATATTATTTCATTGCTTTTTCTCTTCTTTTTTGCTCTTCTCCTTCTGTGCGAGACAGTATTGCTAACATTATTTCTTTTATGTCCACTTTATAATTCTCAACCAAAGGGTAGTGCACCTCCACACTCATAAGGTAGACTGGTAGAGAGTGTCTATGGCATTAAGTCCGCCATTGTACTTATGTGCATAAAGTTATTAAATAAATAAATAAAATAATAAAATTAAAAAGCGATTAAACAGATTTATCAGTTTTCCAGAATAAAAATTTGACTTCCTCTACAGACACTTAACAAATTTTGTGGAAGTTATAAGTGGCAGAAATGTGTGTATTGTTTAATTATTGTAATAGTGATTCATTTAGAGTATTTTACACATGGTCGTCTGATCCCAAATTATACAGAACCTGAGACCAGACTGCTGATAAATATACCCAAAAATTTCTAAGACATCCATTGTATATTTATGTCTTTATTTATTTTTTGAATAAGTTACAACTAAAAATCAATTACATTATTATAAAAATAAATTACACCCAGACAGAACAAATGATCGTGTTCTTCACACAATCAATGTATCCTAAATGAGAATCGAACCCTAACTTCTGGTTCCATTATTAACCACTAGGACAACAAAAAATCGAAAATGATTAAATTTTAAAGGAATAAAACCAGACCATTAAATATTTTAGTGACATCTAAGCTGTTTTCCTTGTTTTCATTGGTAGTGTTATGCAATCCTTTTTCACTCTGTTGTACTTTTGTACTGATGTAACACTTAACAGGCGCGTTGGGTAATAAAAAAAATATATACAGCTACATGTCATACTTAAAATTATTATCATTTCAGAAAGTTTATTAAATGCCGGGCACCACATATACGATCACTTGGACCTGTTAGAGTCGCACCTTCGCAGGTATGACAGAACAGAGAGAAAGAGATCAACCAGCGTAAGTATATCTTTATTTTCATGTTTGTAATTTCGACCGTATTCATTTAGATATTGGACGTATTTTACACGCACATACTATTTAATTTTTTTATTTTTTTTTATCTTTATACTAGCTTTGGCGCGAAGCTTCGCCGCATGTATTTCCTCCACACACACACTTTCTGATCCCTGTTTTCGCCCTGTTTATTTAGCATAAGATTTTTGCGACCTCTTCAACAATAATCGTTATATTTCAGTCAATTTACCTAAAACCAACATGAATTATACACTTAAACTTTTCTCAGGAACCACACTACCTATTAGTGAAACCCATCCAAAAAACCATTTAGTAGTTTATGAGTTTATCGCGTTCATACAGACAGACAGACGCGTCCGGGAGACTTCATTTATAAACATGTAAGGAAATGTCTTTAGATTAGATGTATACTTATTATACACTCACGCCTTTATATCGGAAGGGGCATAGGCAACGCAACGCCCACATTTTGCTAACTATGATTTTAATTCCACTAACGCAATACGGGGCAAGTCTGTTAATGTCAACCGGGCATTTTCGAATTAGCTGGGGAAATTGGAAGCTCTATTGCCTAGATCACTAGGCAATACTCATTTTTCTTGCCTTCTATTGAAAAATATTATTCTGAAGAAGTAATCGTGTCTTATCAGGTGGCCAACCATTTTGACTCTTCTGTTTTCAATTGGATTCAACAATTGCCTCTCTTCACACCATTAGCAGGACCTCCTTATTGGATGTTTTGTCCTTCCAACTGAAGTTCATCATGCGTCTCCGGCACTACATTTCAAATGCTGCTAAGCTGCCTCTGTCTCTTTGGGTCAGCGTCCAAGTGTCGCAGCCATAAAGTGCAATACTCCATATATATGTCTTGATAAGCAATTTTCTTATTTCCTTGTTGGTCCTGGCCTTGAACAGTTGTTTCTTGCTATTGAAGGCTTGTTTGGCGATTGCAAGTCTCTCTATTATGTTTGGGAAACATCTAGAATCTTACGTAATTCGGCTACCTAAATATTTGAAGCTTTCTACTTCTTCTATTTGAACATCGTTAATTTTAATATGAGTAGTTAAAGATAGAACATTTGAGGTAATTAGAATTTTAGTTTTATTGAAGTTTATATTTAATCCAAAATCTTTAATAGTTTCATTCATTACTGTTAAAAGTTGTTCTAAATTGTTTGTGCTGTCGGTTATTACTGCGATATCATCTGCAAATCTGATAAAGCGTATGGTCTCCCTATTAAATTTAACCGGTCCTTTACCTGATTCTACTATTTTCCTTATGGCATATTCGATAAAAATATTAAAAATTAAGGGTGGTGGGTGGTTATAGGGCAACCCTGTCTTACTCCTTGCTTAATAGTTGCTAATTGTTTCTCTCCTCCTACATACATTATTGTTGGCTGGTTTTTATGTAATTCATAAATTGGTTTTATCCAAGTTCATCCGTAGGCCCATGCGTACAGAAGAGTCAGCTAGGTCATTCACCATCTGTTGTAGGTCCTGCAGCGTCACTGCCATAATGACGCTGTCGTCTGCAAATCGCACGTGAGAAATGTATTTGCCATTAAACAAGATCTCCATTGCTTTGCTCTCTTGTCTCACTCCTCAATGCAACTATGCCTTGTTTGCTGATTCTGTACTTGGACGGGCATGGTGGCGGCTTCGTATAGACATTTTATCACATGGGCGTACCGCATCTACTTGTCAACGATGCAGGGACTCCAGAACTGACCAGATTTCGATCAAGTCAAAGACGGTTTGTGATGACTCTTGAAAACAGCTTGTAGACGTGGCTTAGAAGTGAAATGGGTCGATAGTTCTATAACATGGTCTTGTCACCCTTTTTGAAGAACCACACTCTCACTCCACGCCTCCAGAGTTCTCCCTTTAAACAGGACAGCGTTGAAAAGCTTTAATTTAAAAAAAACGATAATTTATTTGACAGTTTTTCATTTTTACAGGACGACTGGGCGACGTTTGATGAGACTGAATTCCAGGGACCGCACAAAGCAAACGAGGGTCCGTTCTACGTGGAACTAGTGCTAGTCGTCGATAGAAGCTACTTCGAAGCCTATAATCGCAATATATGTTTTGTCCACAAGCAAATGCAGACAATTGCTAATATTCTTAACTCGGTAAGACAAGCGACAAGTTGGCGGATGGTGGTGTGGTGGTGGATTTAGAATACGGTGTGTCACCAACTCTATTCATCCCGTAAGTGTCGTAAGAGTCGACTAAGGGAGCAAATCACGCAGGTAAACAGCACACACTGCAAAGAAAAGGAAAACTTGACAAAAACTCTATACCAACCCATCTGGCCAACTTGGTATAGTAGTGGTATAGTATCATTTCTAAGAAGAGCCCCATGTCCAGCAGTGGACTATTAAAGGCTGTTGATGTGATGTGAAGACTAGCAGAAATGTCCTGTCCTCAATGGACCTAAGCCCAGCAAGGGCTAGATGTTAGTTAGTGCTAGACAGCATGGTCCAAAAACCAGAAATAATTGACAATGTCGAAATAACAACCCGTATCAATTTTCAATTTCTATTGTGCAGGTATATTCTAAACTAGACATCTTTATTGCTCTAGCCGGGGTTGAAGTGTGGAACGAATATGATAAAATAACTTTTTCATCGAACTCAACAATTTCTGTCGTGAATTTCTTAGAATACAGGTCAAGAGAGTTGATAAACAATATTCCTAATGACGTTGCTCAATTACTTACGTGAGTATTTATTTTTAATTTGTTTTAAAGACAACTCCCGCATTAGGAATATATATCCAGTGTCGCAGTGGGAATTTACTCAAACAGACTCAGAAAAATAATTTGTGGATGACACAAAGTGTTGTCCCATGTAAGGTTCGAACCCACAACACGCAGCGCAGTAGGAAGCGAGGTGACCGCTTAAACCACTACGCTATCCGTGCAGTCAGTGCAGATTGTTTAATAAAGGCTATTACGAATATTATTATAGAGGATAGATGAGCAGACGGGATAGCTATGGGACAACACTTTGTGTGATCCACAAATTTTTGTTCTGAGTCTAGGTGTTCTTTATGTCTGTTTCATATATGTTTGTAAAGTCCCCCGCGACACAGGAATATATTCCTAATGCGGGCGTTGTCTTTTTAAAAAAAGAAATAAATCTTACTTAATAAGTATATTTTGATACAGCCTAAGTATTAGCCCTTAAACCACAAAAAAAAACTATTCAATTGTTGTAATATTTACAGTCTCAAGTATTTCGATGGTGGTATAGTTGGCAAAGCAATGCACGGAGCAATATGTTCTCATGAGTTCTCTGGCGGAATAATAAGTAGCAATACCAAAAGCATGGGTTTGCTCGCCATGACAATAGCCCACGAGATGGGTCATAACTTTGGAATGGATCACGATTATAAATATGATGATCATTGTAAATGCCGAGGGAAGCAGTGCATTATGTGGGCTTACAGAACACATACAATACCGACAGGTTGGTCGACGTGCAGTCTAAAGAAGTTGAAATTTTCCTTATCGACGGGAATCGGTTTTTGTTTAAGGTAAATACTCTTTAATAATTCAGTATGAACAGAATCTGCTTACGGATTCCGCATGCTTTTAAAATGTTCTCTTGCTCTTTTGTGGAAACTCATACTTTTCTTTATTTGGAGTAGGCAGAGGTAACAACCCACCAATCCTTAGAAATGAGACTAGTCCATTCTCGTCAAGAAAATAGTGACCAATGGTGACGCATTGATCAAGCCTCACACCCTGACTAATCAGGTTTCAATCTTTCGTACGAAGTAATAATTGCTTGGATCCTGATTGGTGAAGGGATTCTCTTCACGCGAATAGACTACTCGTATAGTTTCCTCTGTTGTCATTAAACCATTTTTTTCGTGATCACCGGTTTCAGGTACTACTGACCGACTTTCTCTTTAGGACATCAAGAATTTACTTGATGCCAATTAAAATTTGGCTATTATCTTTAAAGTTTGTTAGGCTTCGAAGTAGCTTCTATCGACGACTAGCACTAGTTCCACGTAGAACGGACCCTCGTTAGCTTTGTGCGGTCTCTGGAATTCAGTCTCATCAAACGTCGCCCAGTCGTCCTGTAAAAATGAAAAACTATCAAATAAATTATCGTTTTTTTTAAATTAAAGGTAAGGTAAGAAGAAACATTACATTGAAAAAAAAACGATTCCTATAGGATTGAATTACTAGATAAAAGTTATGAAACCTCATTGACATATCTTACGCCCATCATTGACGCATAAGGTCAGATTGATTACGCGTACTTCGATTTTCGAAAGGCATTCGACTTGTTGATAACGATGTGCTATTATCGAAGATGGCGGCGTTAGGTTTCACGTCGTACCTACTCAAATTCTTAACGAGCTATCGTGGTGAACGCAGTCAGTACGTTGAGTAAGTTGGTTATAAATCCAGTCCGTATTTTACTCTTTCGGGTATAAGTCAGGATTCAAATCTGTGACCGTTAGAATTTATACTAATGATCAACGATCTACCGGGAGTCTTACAGCATGCCGTGTGCCTGCTTTTTGCAGATGACCTGAAGGTGTATCTGTCAATAGCAGACGCATCGGACGCTAGGCGACTACAGGCAGATATAGACCGAGTAGTGCAGTGAAGCAATACCAATAAGTTGTACTTACCATAGCTAAATGCGGAGTGATGAGTTACCGTCGGGCTAGGGCTCCACTGCGCTAGACCTATGAAATGAATAGTGCGTTGATTCCGTACTTTAACAGCATCCGAGATTAAGGAGTCGAAATGATGCCCGAGTTGGAGTTTCGTAGTCATATTGTGGCAGTCAATTCGTACTACATGCAGTAAATCATTTAGAAATTAAGGATTTAAGTATTTTGAGAAACTGTAAAGATTTTAATAATACGTCATTGGTAAAAATTTTGTACCGTGGCGCTAGTGACATACGTGTGGCGCGTGCTGCGCGGCTGCACCAAGGTATGCGCCCCTGACAAGTGCGTGGGTGCACGCCGCCAGCCCCCTTCACTCAGCGTTCCCGTAATGCGAACAAATCTGCTTCGATATGCCCTTATATCACTCACCATAAGGCTTATTACTATTATTTCAATACATGTAGATATCTACAACTGTAGCCTGCCGAACTTCAAAGAAGTTGCCCAAAGGTGTATTACAGCAAATGATTTTTCTCTATAAAATAATCGTTACTTACTGTTTTTACTTACAGTATCGTTTTAGGATAAGGATCCTGTAAAAACACTGTAAATGTTTTAAATAAATAAAAAAAAAACATTAAAAGTAGAGCTATGTTTCACACGTTACGCACTATTAACAAGAGGTATGTTTCACAATTGATATTTTGTTCTAGAAATAAACCGAGATCTTTAATCGAATATCCTATATGCGGCAACGGTATCCTAGACCTGGGTGAGCAGTGCGATTGCAGTGCGATGACCGTAGTTGGTACATACCTCCAGTGCTACGTCTGCTGCGATCCAAGCACTTGTATGCTGAGAGCGAATGCTACATGTGACACGGGCGAGTGCTGCCATTTATCGGTTAGTCTTTCAATTAAAGTCAAGTAATATTAAATGTATTATGTTTCTATATATCAGTTAACATAAATATATTTTTCTCCGTCGCTAGTTAATAAGTAAACAAATTATTTTAATTTGTCTTCATCATCATCAGCCTATCGCACTCCACTGCTAGAAACACGCCTCTCCAATTGTGCGCCACTTAGATTGATCATTGGCTTTTCGGATTCTGCTCCTGCTAACGATCTTGCGCAAATCGTCACTCCACCTGGCCTGTGAGCGTCCTACACTACGAGCTGAGACGCGATGTCCACAAGAACTCATTTACCCCAACGATCGCCGGTTCTGCGGCTAATATGACCGGCCCACTGCCACTTCAGCTTGCTCATTTTAAATTGCACAGATTTTCATTTATAAAATTCTAGGTATAAAATTTAGACCTTGCGCCTGGTCTAAACTTATAGGCCACTAAGCGTGTCCACACCTGGTCCTATTCAGAGAATTCGATGATTTGGCTAATCAGATAATGAGAGATACGAATCGAAGTACAGTATAACATTTATAACAATAATAACAACAATAAAAAGTAAAGTAAAACATTCATGACTATTTTTAGATTTGCAAGAATCATAAATGTAGATCATCGGCAGCTGCAATAGACGGAATCGCGAAGAATAACTCAGCAATACACCCCTCCAACTGTCCAGGCTTCGGTGTATGCAATTCTACAGGTACTTAATACTATTTCGACTGCCTTTTAAGGTATTCCTTCAGCACTATGGAAAACATTTAGGTCATTAGATAAATATCTCTTTTTTGTTATAAAATAACTGCTAAGCTGCCATTGGGTCGGCAGGAGCAACTAAATAATATGACTGGAATTGACTGTTTCTTCAGGAAACAGATATCCATTCACAGAGGTCGCAGACTGTCTCATACTCTGGAAGCTTACTTAAGAAAGGCTTTTATCTTTTTATCTCTATAGTTCGTAAGCCATGATATGACATGATATGATATGATACATCTAAACCATGATATGCTGGTGTCTATTTTATTGCCTTTTTTAATTAATGCGCGCAAAAAAAGGGCAGATATGGGTTTATAAGATGTATCAGATACAAATTAATTGGTCATGGCATATTAAACATGCCAGTAACATTTATAAAAGCTTAACGTTTATTTTCGTTTCACCAGGACACTGTTTTTGTGAGCCAGATCATAAGACAAAACTTGATAGCGCGTACAATAGAGGAACGTTATGTACGATGTCGGAACCAGGCATTACAGCACACCGACTTCCTACAGACGAAAATAGTACCTGTAAGTATAGAAGTTATTTTACAAACCGTTATCGCTAATACATACAAGGCACATACTTCTTGTTCTTCTTTGTTTCTTTTAATCGAGTGAGTGAAGTTACCGGAGCCCAACCTTCCTAGGAGAGGTGGATAGTCAAAAGGCTTCAACGCAGTAGCGTCTTTTACCATCAAAGGACCAGTCTGCCGGTTTGCCACCCGTTCCATAAAAAAAATCAGAGTTTTCATCTATAATCTCTCAGTTAAATATAGTAAATAGTGTTAAGGGAAAGGAAGAGCTTTATTCGAATAAAGAATTTTTGATTGCATTCCCCAATTCCCAGGTTTAAGAATTGTTGGTTTTATATCCAAAACTCCCTTAGGAGGGCAGAGCCCTGCAAAAAATTGGGTACAGTCATATTAGGTTCTAGACTCTCATGATATCAGTATAAATACAACATGCCCGAGCTGCTGGCAGTGCTAAAGGCTACTCCTACTACTGCAGTAGTCAGGGTGTTTGAAAATATTTACCTAAATTAACTTGATGTCATAGTTTCACCGAAATTTGAAGAATAGGGCTAGAGAATAGTGTCAATCTAACTAACTGTTGACGACGTTAGGTTGAAATTTGCTTGTATGTATTAATTAATTTGATTTTAAATAAAAAGACACGACTATTTACTGTAATGTATTTGAGGCAATTGAATCTTAGATCTTTAACTAACCTGTTACATGGAATGAATGAAACGGGCCTGACACTAACAAAGCTCCTTAAACACTCTGTCACATAGAATTTTCTTCTTTCATTTGTTCGTAATTGTTAATTTAATAATAATAAACGTACGTACGTACGTATAAACCGGATTCAACGATAAAAAAAACGATAAAAACGACTATTTTTAACAAATTTAAATGACATGAAGTTTCTTTACAGTTCTGAGAAAAACAGATGTGGTTTTATACGTGATGATCCTGGGCACTGTTCCGGCAATCCTGCTAATCATCTGTGCTTATAAGGTCAAGTCAAATCAATGACTCGAGTACTTAGCTTCACAAGATTTTAAAACATTCTTTAAAATCAAACAGCTGTTTTCAAGAATGAAGATATTTTAGAAATTACTAAAAACAAGATGCTGGACTAAAATAAGTTGGTTTGTCAGTTATCCAAATCTGAATTTGATCAATTCATTGACTAGTATACTGCACTGCTTTTGAATTATTGTAAGCTGTACAGAATTCAATTAGACAATTCAATCAGAGTTATAAAATCTTTTCACATTTGATGCCTCAAATTCTTAATTGGGGTTTGTAATGGCTTATAAATCGTTTAATGTGTAAACAAACTTAATGAGTCGATCTATAGAACTTTACATTTTATATTGTAGTAACAATCTACAAAACTATTTTATATTGTTTTTATCTAGGCATTAATTAGAATGTATTAATTAGTATTCTCATAAAACCTAGGCTAGTACATTAATAAAGAAAAAATTGTATTGTAAATACGGGGTGTTACACAGTATAATTACAAATGTCCAGACCCAGGCTAAGTTGTTACCATTCGATTTGAACTAAAATTGTTAAATTTATGTAATGAATTTCTTTATTCTAGTTACTGTACGTGACTAATTTTATAAAAATAAATGTATACACTCATGCCTAAATGCCCAAAAGAGTAGACAGATATATTAGTCACACTAACGTAATATTGCCGAGCTAGCTATTGCCGAAAACTGGGACTTTATGGACCAGACCAGGAAAATTGGAAATTGGAATTGGAATATATATTAAAAGGAAAGGTAAGAAGCTATGGCAATGGTAAGAAAGGAGTATTAGTTATAAGGAACGATTGTATCGACTAATGTACTTGTTATTTAATAAGTAATGTGTCATAGAAATTAACGAAATTTATATGAGAAGGCCAAAATCGATCAAATGGTGTGCAATGGGAGAGGCCTATGTCCAGCAGTGGACTGCGTAGGCTGATGATAATAATAATAACAATATTCTACAACATTCACACAACGCCATCTAGTCCCAAACTAAGCAGAGCTTGTACTACGGGTACTAGGCAACTGATATAAATACATATACACTTTTTTTTTTGTAAATACATACATATTATACATAGAAACACCCAGACCAAATTAAACATTAAATGTAAAACCACTTGTCTCTGATTAATTCACAAATGTTTGACTGGAGCGGGAATTGAATCCACGACCTTTGGGTTAGCAGTCCGTTACACAAACCACTACGCCATCCAGTCGTCTGATGATATGACACATTACTTTATTCATAACCAGCGATCCGCCCCGGCTTCCCACGGGTGCAATGTAGATACGACTACTACTGATGTGGTGTCAGTGTGGAGTAATTAATTATACTATGATTATGGCAAGACTATACTGCAGGACATCTTTATATGCAATATTTAACTTCAATCCTGGCGGCCGCTGCCACCCCGGACGAACACGATGGCACGATGAGCGACGGCCGCATTGCACCCGCATTTAAACCTCTGAGGGCCTAGTGTCAGTTTCTTTCACATCAACTCGCTCGTCACGGTGACCGCGTTCGGCGTTGCGATTGTTTCGCGCTAAAATCTTCACCAATCACAACGCCAAACGCGTTCGCTGTCGAGAGCGAGTAGAAGTGAAAGAAACTTACACTAAGCCCTCTGATATCTACTAAGATATTTACTTTACTGTAAAAAACAATTTTGATCTACATTAAATGCACAACGTATCTATCTAATTTCTTTGGTTAAGGAACAATACCGTATTGTTCAAAATAACTTAGCAAATTACATGTGATATCTGTATTAAAATGTGATATCTCTGCGAAAAAAAGGACGTCAAAAATGGAGACAAACAGACAATTTTGCACTTTTAGGTAAGGATATTCCAAAAACCAGAGCCAATTCGGTAATTTGTATTCGGTTGTTTAGTGTTATGATTCTGTATTTTACTTTTCATATTTAAAAGTTACCTTTGTAGAGACAGACAAACGTACGCATAATCTTCTAGAAAATAAAATCAGTAAAATGTATAAAATTCTTCAATGCAAATAAAATAGTAATATTTGCCCTACTCAAGTTCATATTTTTGCTAGGACAGCAGTTCATTAACAAATTGCTGTTCTGCCAAAACTAATTAAATTGGTATATTTACCGATTTAATTAGTACCAAGCAATTTTAAGGATTACAGAATTTTACCGTTACCTCATGAGTTCATAACAATTTAATAACGCAAAAATAAACAATGCATATTAAACGTTTACACATTTAAAAGAAAACTATAACTGTATTAGAAATATTTACACTAACGCATATTTTGGAATGACTTGGATAAATTTGGTCTATGTTAGTAGACACACTATTGCCTATTCTACGCTACCATACTTTACCCTACTTAACTCATCTCGACTGTTGTCAGGTGTACAGGAGAGGAAATAAAATGTCACCCAAAGAAGTTTCTGTGCCCCGGGAATACAGAACTGACACCGTGGACACTTACAACACACGGATTTTGAATGTGTTATGAGATTTGAGATTTATTCCTGGGGCACGATTCCTAACTTTAAGGAAAATAATTACCTATTTATTGTGCGTATGCACAATAAATAAGTTTAAAGTCTGAACTTCCCGGTTTTTGTTTAGTTTTACACCGTCAGCGACGGCGGTCGCTTAACATTGACGTGTACCGCATTGTATTTAATTTTACTTACAATTAGTTAAATATGTATAAGTACGGAGGGTAACAGTACCCTCCGTACTTATACATATTTCAGGAAAACTTCAAATAACTAATATTTATTTTCTAAATGTAAACACACCAGTCGAAATTAATTCTAGGAGACTATTAAAATAAAATGTTCTTTTCTTTTCAATAAAGATTAGTCTTTTCTATACTATTTGTGACGTAAATTAAAAAGCTTAAAATTAATTAGTTCCCAATGAAAATAGGAATATGGATATGTTAAACAGTGTTTTCAATTATTTCTTTCTGACGATATTGAATGTAGCGATGATAAGAAGCATTGTGGAAGCTCAGGAACTCAGTAAGTAGATTTAAATGTTAATATTTTATCTAAATATAAAAAAGTGTTAGGGTTTTTTTGTGTACGCTTCAAAAACTCCAAAAGTGCTGCACTAATTGAGATCAAATTTTGACACGATGTACAAACCGCTTCAGATTGTTTTTATCTATTTTGCACTTCAGTTCTGTTCCCATTTCTAATCAATATAACTCAAATATGCGACAGCGAAACGCGTCAGGGTACCTACAGCTAGTTACATATATAATAACTAATTTTTACCCGCGGCTCCGCCCGCGTGTATGTCGGTTTTCTAAAATCAAACTCCATACAAAATTTCACATAAATCAGCTTGGTGGTTATTGATTCCCCATACAAAGTTCCACCTCCCCTTTCACTCTCTTCAAGGATGATTTCTGAGATAGAAACTATACTATGTTCTTTCCCGGTACTCAAACTATCTCTATACCAAATTTCATCTAAATCGGTTCAGCGGTTTAACCGTGAAGAGGTAACAGAAAGACAGACACACAGACAGACACACTTTCGCATTTTTAATATTAGTATGGATGACATCTGCATTCGTGTGGTGACTGATTAAGAACACGGAGTGTCACCACCCCTATTCGTCCCGTGGGTGTCGTGAAAGCCGACTAAGGGAGCAAACTAGAGAAGGAGTGCTCGAAACTAACCCTATACCAACCCGTCTGGCCAGCGTGTTATAATAGGTCAAAATCTCCTTTCTAAGGAGAGGCCTATATCTGCAGTGGAATATTAAAGGCTGTTGGTGGATGTAGTGACATCTGCAGTCTGTTGTTCAGTCTTATGATTCTGTTGCTCCTGCACTGTTCCGCATTCCAAACTCCAATTGGTGACTCAATCTACACATGACTGACATCCAAACGGGCAACTTTGTTATATCATATTATCGGTTAGTAGCCAAACAAATACTTACTATTCTTAATCATGTAAATATACTTCAATATAGTAGATTCCTAGGTTTAAAATAAATTATTTTGCCTGAATCATTAAATGTAGCATCTAACAGTACAGCCTGATTGTCTTCCATTACCAATTTAATCTTTTATTAATTTTTTTAATAATTAAATTAACATTAAACTCCAACTCAAAATATCGCATATGCTACTGGCCGTCAACCAGTGTGCACGCGTGTCACCTGTGTACTTAACAATTTTTAGTTCGTAATTCCTGACTGGTCTTTAAGTGTTGAATCAGTTCCTTTTTTTTTTTTTTTTTTTTTTTTTTTTTTAACGTGTGGAAATCCCCTCGGACCGTCACCCCACCGGGGTTTGCGGCGGGGTGGTGTGTCGGACTCGAACCGACTAAAACCACACGGTGTGCCCTCTTTGCGCTTCCAGTTTAGGAGGGGTCCAGGTAGTTATCGCCTTCTGGACCCCTCCCAGCGCCGGCCCGCTCCTGGTGCGGGCTCCGTCTTCAATTATCCTCTCTTTAGGCGACGTCCGGCACACGCGGACGCCGCCCCCTCGCGGCTGGCCAACTAATGCGGGTGGAGGGGAAACCCACCCCGTCCACCCGCGGCCACACTCAGGGCGGCATGAGGCGCAGGTAAGCGCGCCTCCGCCGCCCGGTTCGCCGGCGGCGGATCAGGTCCGAGTGGAGGTCGTCCTCCCGGGCCTTCTCCGCCGCCTCCTTCTGCGAGATTACCTCCTCGCAGAAGGTTGCGACCGCGGTAAAACAACTGTCGCTACCGGCCATGGAGCGAATTACGGCCGGTAGCGAGAGATCTGCTCCGATGACTGCAGTGAGGGCCCGGCGCTGCGTCGCCCATGCGGGGCAGACCGCCAGCGTGTGCTGGGCCGAGTCCTCACTGCAGTCGCAGTGGTGGCAGGCGGGACTCAGTTCCCTCCTAGCGACCGAGTGCAGGTACTTTCCGAAGCAACCGTGCCCGGAAAGCACCTGCGTCAGCCGGAAGGAAAGGGCCCCGTGCTGCCGCCCTGCCCACTCGGCTATGACCGGCTGGAGAGCCTCCACGGCGGCGAAGCCAGCGCGTGGAGTCTCCAGCCGGAACGACCAGATGGTCGTTCCGGCTGGAGACTCCACAGCAGGTTAGATAACCATGGTGGCTCGGCGAGCGGCTTCGCGCCACTCGCGCACGTCTTCGGGCGGAGGGCGAAATCCGCTCTCCGCCCGGAAGTCAGCCACTCGCCGATAAACTTCGGCGAGCACTTCCGCCTCCAAATCCCACGGGGGTGTTCCGGCCAAGGCGCAAGCCGCCTCGGTGGACACCGTGCGGTATCCGCGTATGGCTCTGACCGCCAATATCCTCTGGGGGCGCCAGAGGCGCGCCCTATTCGGGGCGGTCAGAGCCGCCACCCACACCGGTGCACCATAAAGCGCCATGGACCGGACAACCCCCGCGTACAGCCGCCTCGTGGGAACACTGGCCCCGCCCAAATTGGGCAAAAGTCGCCCTAGGGCGCAGGCAGTGTCCACCAGCTTCGGACCAAGCTGTCGGAAGTGCTCGTCGAAGAGCCACCTACCGTCTAGGACCAGACCCAGGTACCTCATCTGGGCCCGGACCGGTACGAGGACCGAGCCGACCTCGATTGAGGCGCCGGCGGGTGGACCACAACGGGGCCCATGAAATAATAGGGCCTCCGTCTTATCCAGGGCCACCCGTAATCCCAACGCCTCAATGCGCCCGACCACCTGGGAAACCCCCGTGGCGGCCAGGCGCGCCGCCTCCTGGAAGTTAGCCCCCCGGGCCGTGACTAAAGTGTCATCTGCGTAGCAGAGTACACCCAGCCCGGGGGGGAGACCCCTCGTAGGGCCCAGTCGTATCCAATGTTCCACAGGAGTGGTCCTAGGACAGACCCCTGCGGAACACCGCACGACATGGCCCTGCGTCTCAAGACGCCATCTCGGTCCTCGTACATGACGGTTCGCTCCTCAAGGTAGTCTGCCACCAGCCGCCTCAGGTACTCCGGCACTCCGTGGTAGCGGAGCGCTTCCCTGATGCAGCTGAATGGCAGACTATTGAAGGCGTTGGCGATGTCCAAGGACACCGCCAACACCACTCCGCCGCAGCTCACGGCCTCCTCGGTCACGGCCCTAAGGCGCATTACGGCATCGATCGTCGAACGCCCCGCTCGGAAACCGAATTGGGCGTCCGACAGATCGGGGCCAACCTCGCAAAGGTGCCGGACGATGCGGGCAGAAAGCACCCTCTCAAAAAGTTTACCCGCCTCGTCCAGCAACACGATAGGCCTATAGGCCGCGACCGATTCGGCAGGCCGTCCCGGCTTCTGCAGCAGGACCAGCTTCCCGCATTTCCAGCGCTCAGGGAAGCGTCCGGACGCCAGGCTAGCGTCCAACACCCCCCTGAGGTGGTCCGACATGTAGTCGAGAGCTCGGGCCATCACTCGGGCTGGAACCCCGTCCGGCCCGGGGGCAGTGTTCTTGGATCTAATCCGTAGAACAGCCGCCCCTAACTCCGATTCCCTGACGGGCGGAACATCAGCCTCGCTGCCCCCGTCGTCTCCGGCTGATGCAGCCATCGACGGGGGTGTGTGCTCCGCCCGCTGCGGGAATAGGCCCTCGACCACTTCCTGCAGGAAGCTGGGCTGGAGAGTCTCCGTAAGGGGGGGGCCCGACGTGCGGAGCTTTTGACGCACCGCACGATAAGGGCGACCCCAGGGGTCACGCTCGAGACTCTCCAGCATCTCCTCTCTACTGACATCCTTGGCGCGGCAGATGGCCAGCCTCAGAGTTTTCCGAGCTTCTCGGTACTCCTCATGAAACCGGTCCACCTCCTCACCGACCCCGCGGTGACGTCGCCGACTACGGGTGAGGGACCTCCGGGCACGTACACAGGCCGCACGGAGGTCCGCCAACTCCTGGGACCACCAGTAGACCTCCTTCCTTGGAGGCCGACAACCACGAACGCGGGGCATGGCCGCATCGCAAATCTGCGTAATCGCATCGCAGAAGCGACCAGCCCCCATGTCGACCTCCTCGGTCGGGGCCTGCGGAGACAGCCAAGAGTGAATAATGGCCGCCTCCTCTAGTAGGTCCCTGTCGAGCTTGGCGATAGCCCACCGCGGAAAGCGGGAAGGGCGCCGCGCCGCGTGACCCCTACTGGGGTCCTGGGACCGGGAGAGCTCGAATCGGATGTACAAATGATCCGAGAGCGTCTCGACCTCTTCCAGGACACACCAGTTCCTTACTCGTGCGGCGACTGCAGGGGTAGCGAACGAAAGGTCCACTATCGACCCCCCCTGCTGTCGCACGCACGTGTTGGTGGAGCCTCTGTTCAGCAAACAGAGGCCCACCGACGCCGCCCACTCCTCAACGGCTTCGCCCCTGGCGTCCGTCGCAGGGGAACCCCACGCAATGGACTTTGCGTTGAAGTCCCCCAGCACGAGGACGTGCCCAGACACTAGTCGCCGCATCGAGGCCTCCAAGTTGTTAAGGAAGACCTCGAAGTCGTTCAAACTCCGGTTGGGGGAGAAATATACACCATAAATGGTGATTCCCCCCCAATCGGCGGCAACATATCCAGTACCCTTGTCTCTTAGCGACAAGGGCGGGGAATGAGCCGCCGTGGAGCCGACGACTGCCACGGAGCCGTCCCGGTCACCCATCCAGTTTGGACGGGGAGGGACAAAATAGGGCTCCGCGACTACGGCAACATCTATAGACCACTGTGCCATGGTTTGCAGGAATACCGAGCGGGAGGCCCCGTCCGCGCCCCCCCCCTGTCCCTATCGCGACCTCAGGGGTACCTGACGCCCAACTGCGGTCAATTCTCGACGCAGTTGGGCGTATGCTGGACGGCCGTCTGGCCGGCCTGGAGGCGAGACTGCCCCCTGCGCCGGTCGTGCGCCCCCCGCTCGCGTCATCGCAGCGGCCTAAGGCCGCTGCGCCAACCGCGCTCCCCGTGGTGGGAGGCCGCGTCTCCTACGCGGCGGCGGCGTCGGCCCCGACTCCACCGGCTCCCCAGGGGCCGAAGAGAGGGGCCAAGGCACCGGCCCAGGCGCCAGTCAAGGCGCCGGCCAAGGCGCCGGCAAAGGCGCCGGCCCAGATGCCGGCCAAGACGAGGCCTAAAGCGGCGCCGAGGAGCGGAGTGGCTTTCCCTCCGCTCCCCGCTCCGACATCCCTGCCGGGCCCCTCTGCACCTGCCCCCTCCAACGAAGGTTGGCAGCAGGCGAGGGGCTCAAAGAAGTCCCGAAGGCGGGCTAGAAGGGCTGCTCAGAAAGCAGCCCAAGCCCAGCCTTCGCCACCGGTGGCAACGGCCTCAAAAAAGAGGCCGCGGAAGCTGCAGCCGCCCAAAACCGCGGCTGTAGTCGTGACGCTGTCGCCGGAGGCGGCCAGTGGCGGGCTCACGTATGCGGCCCTCTTCAAGGGGGCCCGGCCCGGTCTCGCCACTGAGTTCGGGGAGGCGGGGATGAGGCTGCGCCGCGCCCAGACGGGAGCTCGGGTTTTCGAGTTCCCTGGGGCTGAAGGCGCGGCGACGGCCGACAAATTCGCCGAGAAGTTGCGGGGAATTTTCGCCGCCACGGACGGTGTTAAGATCGCCAGGCCCACCAAATGCGCGGAACTGCGTATCTCGGGCCTGGACGACTCTATAACGTCGGAGGATGTCCGCGATGCAGTCATGGAGAAGACTGGGTGCACCGCGGACACCATCAGAGTCGGCACCGTCCGTCCGGGTCCGGGAGGCCTCGGTGCGGTGTGGGTCAGCTGTCCCGTGGCGTTGAATCAGTTCCTGCTCTAACCTGTGGCATGTAATTTATTGGACTCGACCTTGAGGACGTTGAGAGAAAGAGACAATTAATATTTAAGCACTTACATACTATACAAAGTAAAGTTAAGTGAATTTTAGTGGTGACAGACACTGCCAGGACTTGAACGCGCCCCTCCGATTGTCGTTGCAAATCTCAGTCCACACCATAAGCCGGACCACTGAGACAGTGACGTAACTAGTGAATCTACGAAATAGATAAGTCCTCTACGAAATCTGGCATCGCGTACCCAAGCATCGGCATCGTTTCGCTGCTACGGCTGCGGAGAGTGAGTGCGGAGTGTACGTGCTACAGTGCGAGACTGGGAGTACATAATAATAGGGGTTAAGGTATAAAATTGCCGTTGTATAGAAATAGATAATTTGAATTGACATAAAACCTTTTAAAAACCTTATTATTTTATTTACATGCAATTAAATAATTTCTAAACTACGAACTATTTCTAACATTGCATGTAAAACGCATGAGTCATAAAATTCCTCAGCTGCGCTTTATCGCCGAGTAGTAGGTATTTTTCCGGGAATACTGGCGGCATTGATACGCTGAATGACAATGTTTTGTTCTCTGTGTTAGAAATATATCAATCTTCTCGTCACAAAAAGAGTACATGTCATGGAAAATACAGATTAATGTGATCAAAATAAAAGACAAATAAAAAAAATGCAGAATGCAACCACAGAACTTTGGTAATCTGACAGATGATTTTGATACAATGCTTAAAGTAATAAAAAGTAGATGTATGTTCCTCCACAAGTTTTAAAAGCCATAGGAGAGCCATGCTTATCTGGTTTATCCTCTATTTCACACAAACTTTTTAACGCAGAAATACGCAGAAATAAACACAAATAATACATCCCTAAAATTTTAAATACAATACGAAATACGAGTACATACTTGCAAACAACAGGTCCTTCTTATTACTCGTTATTAAGACTAATCATACTAATGACTTACATATAGTTAATATACACTATTGTTGACACGTGCAATACAGGATAAATTTAGCAATAACAGAATTAGGACCTGTTGGCATTGCACTGTACCTTTTTTTTTTTTTTTTTTTTTTCCGTGCGGAAATCTCCTCGGATACCACCTGTCGGTGGCATGTCGGACTCGAACCGACTAAAACCGCACGCCTTCGCCGGGTACTAATAGCCGGGGAACCAGGTATACCCTAGAAAGGAAGTCCCTGGTGCCCCGACATACCTCGGGTCATCTACAGACGAGAAGACGACCCCCCCCCCGTGTGGGAACCCCATGTTCCCTGTGCTCCCTGGAAGCGAGCGCGCTGCGCAACGCGCTCGCCGCCACCCCGGCCTGCTTCTGCTAGTGTGACAGATGGCCTCACCTGTCACCCCCAGGCCTGCGCTTATGGAGGACGGAGGTCGTTCTGCGACCTCCGGCGCCTGAGTCGCCTGCGCTGCCTGGCCCGTGCCCGGGCCTGGCGGGCCGGGAGGGTTCTAAACCTCTCCCGGTCCCGCTCCGCCGTCTCCTTCGCGAGCATAACTTGCTCGCAGAAGGAGACGGCAGAGTTCCACGCACTCTCGCTCCGCACGATAGCCGCAATCAGGCTATCGAGCGAGACTCCAACTCCGATGGCCGCCACGAGGTCTCGCCTCTGCTCAACCCACGCCGGGCACTCTGCCAGCGTGTGGAGAGCCGTGTCCACGGTCTGGCCATCGCAGTGGTGGCACTCAGGCGTTGGCTCCTTGCGGATCAGACACAGGTGATCTCCGAAACAGCCCTTCCCAGTGATCACCTGCGTCAATCGGTATGAGAGGGTCCCGTGACGCCTCTCGAGCCAATCCTCCATAACGGGTCTTACCGCCGCAATGACGGCGTGCCCGGCGCTCGGTTGCCCGAGTCGTTCCCTCCACTCCCCTATGATGACCTGGCGGAGTTGGGATTTCCGGTCATCGATTTCTCGAATCTCGGGGCATCGACCCAACTCCTGCGCCTCCTTGCGCCACTGATACAGAGCCGCAAGGGCTCTCGCCTCCAGGTCCCACGGTGGAGTTCCGGCCAGGAGACTCGCCGCCTCAAAGGAGATCGTGCGGTACCCCCTTATGATCCTGATGGCCAGCATTCGCTGCGGTCGTCGCAGTATCGCGACGTTGCTGGCCTTCAGGGCCCCCGCCCATACTGGGCATCCGTAAAGGGCCATGGACCGCACAACCCCCAAGTAGAGTCTCCGGCAGGAGTCATCGGGTCCCTTCATGTTGGGCAACTTGGGGGCATTGCACTGTACCTACCTGCATCTACAACACGTTACGGCACTTAGTAACATGATGATTTATTTACTGGATTTACAGTAATTAAATAATTAAAGAACAATAACAATTCACATGTAAAGTATATTAACTATTGGTGGAAGAATGCAATTGCAATTCTCGCTGCCCCGGCCATTGGTAAGAAGATGAACACCGGGGTGGGTTTTAGTCGGTACGAGTCCTATAGACACCCTTTGCCACCCCCCAATGTGTGAAGGACATCCATGAGGATCTTCCACCCGTTAACAAAAACATGATAGATGTGCAGAACTTGCAGAAGAAAAAAGTGTTTATGCCATAAATATATGTAGATACCATAAAATTTTAAAAGGTTCATGCGTACATCATTATCTTTGCAATTGATATCACATAGACAACAACACCTAGAACACCTTAGAAGATGAACAGTAGGTTTAACGCAGTTGAAACTGCGAGCCAAATGTACTTGTGAACAGGTGTTTTAATCAAGTCCCCTCCTGGAGACACAGACCTCGCTTTTAACATTATATTTAGCAGATGACGCAACACTTTATCGCCTGGAAATTCTAATATGGGAAACGCCGCAACTTTATAAGGTATTTTCAAATACAAGGAAAAGGTTACACCATTACACAAAGGTTTAGAATGGTTTTATTATATGAATTCGATATTTTGATTTTGAATATTTTAATTTCTATGAACTAAAGGGAATTCTCTGATAAACACACATTACTTTGCATATGGTTACACAGAATTTCCAAAACATACACGTTTTTGGAAATTCTAAATGTTTTCTGTTATATTCTTTCAAGGAGTGACTGCCGCGTTTGTTCAACATAAATACGAATTTGAATTCTTTTTTGATTGCATATGCTTTTAAAGTAATTTTCTTTCCCTCCGCTCAAACAAAGCGAGTCTTCAGTAGACTAACAAATAATATTTAGATGATTAAAAAACAGTGTAATGAATTTCATACACAGTTACTAAACTCAAACATATTTTGATGATGATTTTGAGGAAACACCGCTAAAGAGACATTCTTAAGTACAACTTTGTTTGAGTAAGGTTCTGTATACGTAGTCAAAGCCTTTAGGAACTGAAAATTCTGTAATGTTGTTTGTTATGTTGTTGTTGTGTTTTGCTAGAAATGTTTTACTCCATCATTTTCGTCATATCAAAACTGTTGTGGGATAACTCTTTATCTCTAGGAATCTCCCTCTCTAGCTACGAAATTGAGAAGTTATGTAACTAAAAATAAATTCTTGCCCATTTTTTTGACTGACTTACGATCATTAACCGATATTTCAGATCCACCTGCATCAGAGTTTAATAAACACGCTGTAATTCAGCCTGTCTTGCTGCACGGAAGAACTAAAAGAGAAATATCCACTACCAGAAAAACGGTTAGTTACATATCACCAATATCTTGTTAATAATTTTACCTAGGTACATAACTATCTAGTTTCATACTGCTTTTACCTGGCGCCAAAAGAGCTGTTACGCAGTACGTCCGATCCGAATCCGTGAAAATACGTATCTAGAAATCTCGAATTGAACTCTAATATTGCTGCTTTTCCCACTGCGTTCTCTTTACTTTACTAATAATAAAAGACACAAAGGGTTGTCTAATGATGCGATCGAATCGTGGGGAGTAATTTAGCGCAGTAAGAAGCGGCGAGGTGACCGCTTAAACCACTACGCCACCAGTGTAGTCACAAAAATCACGATGAACTAACGTGGATGCGTGACCTACTCCAGTCTTTCAAGCAATTTATTGTCTCAGGGAGATAAAGTTAGTGCCGTTACAGCACCAGCAGTTTTCTCACTTAGCATTAACAAGTGATTATAATTTTAGTAAGATGAAATCCTTTTATGATGATTACAGGGAGGTGAACATCATTTAGAGGTGATATTAAAGGTTCCTATTGACGATGAGGAGTATTTACTTGATCTACAACTAAACCAGCATCTGGTGACAGAGAATCATGTACTCAGTTATCAGCAAAACGGCAAGACTGTGGTATATAAACCTAAGAAAGATGTGAGTAAAAAATAATGGTTTACCAAACCACAGACTACTGTAATATTTTTTTTTTCTACAAATTATTATTTCAGTTGTAGGAACATCCATACTCTAAAAGAATAATTCAGCACCAATTAACATAGACAAGCCAAAGTATTTAAAAAACTGCTGGTACTGAATCTCGCAATGATAATATTCGTGCCCGATTTCACAGTTACCATGCTCTTCTAGCACACATTGCTCAGAAGGTTTCACAGTTTTACACTCTAACACTACCATTACAGGCCATGAACTTGTGCTACTACAGGGGGTCGGTGCGCGAGAAGCCGGGCTCGTGGGCAGCAGTGTCTACATGTCGTGGCATCCAGGGCATAGTATTCGACGGCGAGAGACTAAAATACATCGAACCAGTGCAAGGTGAGGCTATAATGTTACACATATGTACATACAATTACGCCTATATCTCCAAAGGGGTAAGTAGAGGCTTAATAAAGACTGCCTTCGTGGTACAATATACGAATACTGTTCTGGAGTCTAGGGTTCGACGAAATATTTGTATGATCTGAAAAAAAATATTTCGGAGTTTTGGGTGTTTTCTATGTATCATATGTATGGATTTACAAGAAAATGAAAGTATACAAGTATTCCATCAGTAAATCTAACTTTCATAGTACAAGCTCTGCTTAGTTTGAAACTTAAGGGCGTTGTGTCTGATGTCTGAAAAAAAATAAACACATACATTTCACCAACTGTAATTTTAGTCCCAGTTACGTAATAGAGGGTAAAAATATTGCCTTGAAACGGGTTTAGGGATTGGATGGACATTTGGGAATATATTCAGGTGAAAGGTGAATAAGGTAATGGTATTGTAGGGATATTGCGGAAATGGATGAATTGAGGACTTTAGTCCGAATCTTCTAATATATGGGTCATTGTCGTTAAATGAAGCTCATTTGCATTAATTTCAGATCTAAAGAAATATTTCTGGTTAACGTCCAAAGTTTAACATTTCTCTTCAACAGCCTAATCTTGAAAATCACAGTGAATCTATGTATATATGAATGTGTATGTATGTATATAATCGTATAACCGTTCCACCGAGTGCTTGAAGTAACTACAGTCCTAGTCCCCCTCCTCCCTCCCAATTCTTACACTCACTTACTATCTGTTGAGGCTTATCAGCCCCTTTACCTCTTTTTCCATAAAAAAAAGATAAATTCTTTAAAACTACCGACACCATTATTTCTTCGTTTTGAACTTCTGTGCACATTTCATGTCTCGTTATGAGGATCGGTGATGTTATTCTAAGTATTACTTTTCAAGGGTTGTTCCCTAACCTATGTGATAAACCTGTGCAGGAGGTGATGTCAATGCTGAGCACTACTTGTACGATCACGCCGATCTGACTGAGTCGCATCCGCAGAGGTACGATTACGGGCTTAATAACAACTCTCTGTTTAAGCAGAAAAGTTTAAGGGACAGAGTAAGTACTGATAACGCGTTTTATCATTTGCATCAATACATATTTACAACACATGCACACTAATTACCACAAACTAATATCGTCATTGTCGCAGAATAGTGTCGGATCTGAAATTTATTGAACTTTATTTATTTTTATTTATTTATTTACACTTTATGTGATAAAGGCGGAAATAATGCCGTAGGAATTTTTCCCAGTCAACCTTAGGGCGATGCAGAGAGAACATGTTAGATGCAAAAAGAAATCGAAAATGTCATTTTATGAAAAAATATAGCATATTTAGGCTATCATATACCCAGATTACTGACTCCAGATGTACCAGACTACTTATCATATACTTATATTAATTACATTAGAATATTTTTTTATAAATAATACATATATTTATTATAAATAAATTTATTATATTTTTTTTATAAATAATACAGAATATTTTTTATAATAATGATACTAACATACGATACATAAATATTTATATATATGTTAGTTTTTTTGACATAACTTTTTTAATCCTACATCCTTAATTATTAAAATTAGCCTACAAGTGAAAAATAGTGTTTATTTCAAAATGCAATGAAAATAACATCTAATAATAATACCAATTTCTAGAAAAATTACATCACACAATCATTTTACTTTGAACGCCTATCAAACAAACACTGAAATTATTAAAATCTAAAATTCATATAATTTTTCTTGAATGTAGTAATAATATTTAGACAAGTAGTTTCCAAATATCTTTTTTTTTTCAAAAACTGAATACCTTTTTTTTTCCAAACCGACATTACTCTACGATTATGACGATAGTACACGCACATACGATCTGTGTAAAGATAAATTGACAACGACACATTGTATCTACTACATTTCTTAAATAATATTTCTTACAATTAAAAACAAATCATCACGACCTTTGCAGTTCAAAAGATATGCTCCAGATCCAAGTTATCACTTAGTCCGTGGTCCGTATACAGCCAACGAGCGTTCTCTCTACGTGGAACTAGCGCTAGTAGCGGACAGTAGACTCTTTCAAGTTCACAACTTTGATCTGCGTTCCGTCCACAGAGAGATGACGCTTATTGCTAATCATATGAATGCGGTAAGATAATTTTCTATTGTATTGTAAGATTCATTCATAATTTTATCATTACAGGTCTCTAGTCTTGGCTTGTACTTAAGCAATTATCACGAATGCTCAGATCAAATAAAAGAGTCAAAACGGAACTTTGCGAAGAACGAAGTGACTCCAGTTTTACTCGTATAAACATGTGTGCGTGCCATCATAATTTTATTTTACTGAAAATATTACTTATGTATGAAGTGCGATTCCATTGTAGTATGTCCATATGTCTTGTAGTTTGATTTTTGCACATTGTTGACATTTTTGATGACGTTTTGACTGACAAGACTTCGAAGTTTCGTTGTACGTATTACTTTACTTACTATTAGGTGACCCGTCTGCTCGATTGTCCTGTATAACATAAATACGAATAAACTATTCGATACACAAAAATATTTAACTAGGTACATCCATTTCAATGGCCCCGAGTTTCTTTCTTTCTATTAAATTTTAAACATTCTTCTTTCTTATATTTCTGCTTACTTTCTTTTTTCTTTTTAGACATTCCACTCTCACAAGCTTTTAACGAAATAATATAAAAGTTATTTTTAACTTATGAATATACCGATTTTAGGTAGGTTTTTAATTTATTTCATCCATCCATCCATCCTTAGGTTTTTGTTTCTTTTTATAATTTTCTTGTCATTATTAAAGGTATTTTCTCCGTTAAACATCTTTATTGCTTTGGTCGGCGTGGAGGTTTGGAACGACTACGACGAAATATTGCTGCCCGATGACTCGCTTACAGTTTTGAATAATTTTTTGGAGTACAGAAGAAACGTGATGGTTAAAAAAAATATATTGAATGACTTCGCGTTTTTACTTACGTGAGTTGTACTCTTAAATATATTCACCTGTAATAAATATACTACGCGGTGTGGCTCTCTTACGGCAAAAACATTGTTAAATAATAGCATCATTTTAAATAATAGCATCATTAAAAAATCCCCGACACATTTTTTTTATTAAAAAACAACAACTGCTCATTGAGACTTTTCTAATAAGCCCAAACATGATATATATGCTGTAATTTTCTGAGGAGTTGGCTATAACTATAACGCAGACAACTTGATGCAGCAGCAACACTTCATGCACTAGATTACCATGTCGTGAAAATACCATCAAAGTAACAGTATACCAAATTTCAGATCAATCGGACCCTTCATCACCTAGGAAGTGAGCTGAAGATCGTCAAAATTTATAGCTAAGAACTATCTCGATCACATCGGATTTCGAATAAAAAAACTCCTCATTGAAATTGGTCTATCCGTCGGGAGCTATGATGCCCCAGACATACAGACAGACATACACAGATATGCAGATACCCAGGTTAAACTTATAACACACCTTGTTTTCCGTCGGGGGTTAAAAAAACAAAATCTGATTTTTTTATTATTTATGTTCCTAAAATGATTCTGGTAACCTAGGCGTCTTTGAATCGATATATTAAGACATGTATTGTATATGTGTGTATTTGTGAATGTATTGTTTTATCGTAATTTTTATCATTTGCAAGGCTCCTTAGATACCTGTGGTATCTAAGGAGCCTTGCAAATGATATGAAGCCTTGCCTAAGGAGATACCTGTGGTATTTTGTATTTTTGCCTTAGGTGAGATAAAGGCTAAATGTAAGCCTTAAAATTCTTAGATCTGTCCACAGTGTAGATGGCAACGTTGCATCTCTTGTGTTACATGTGTGCATGGGTGGCGCGAGTCACTTGCCATAGATTATCAGTCTGTCGAGTGCAAGCCAGACTCGCCCACCGAAGGTTTCGTACAAATTTGTAGGTGATTATTATAAATACTTCAGGAACTCTTCAAGTTGTTTCCGAGACAGACAGACGGACACAAGGTAATATTATAAGGATAACGTTTTTTCTTTTTGAGGTACGAAACCTTAAAAAATATGTTTGATTTGACCGTAGTTCCTCATTCCTCTGTACTTAAAGTCATGCTGTATCACTTACCAGGAACTGTTTCTTAATTTTTTAGAGTCCAGAAATTCGAAGGTACAGTGATCGGTAAAGCATATGTGCAGAAAATATGTAGTCATAAATCTTCCGGTGGAGTTGGGAATTATCATACATCGGTCACTGGCCTCCTCGCTATGACAGTAGCTCATGAGTTGGGTCATAGCTTCGGAATGAGCCACGACGAGGATAGTAATTGTGAATGTCAAAAAAATAAATGTGTCATGAGTTCTACATCTACGGAGATTATACCAACTGCTTGGTCGTCTTGCAGCCTGAGTTCTTTAGCACTATCATTTTCAAAAGGACTGGATTATTGTTTAAGGTAAACATTACTACATTCTATAAGTGTGTACTTAGTTATATTAAAGCGATGATAAAAACTGTGTTATTGTGGCACTATTAAAAGATGTGGAACATTCAGACTGGAAAGAAATTTCAGGTACGTTAAGGAACTTTGTTTGCTTATACAAATTTGGAGTTAGAAAGTTCCTCAATAATTTTTTATCCCTTTATTTCTAAATACTAACTTAACTTTGCAGATTCAAATATATCTACTTCATTCGCACATTCAATTTTCCAACGGCAAAAAAAAAAAGTTTCTAATAACAAAAAATGTTGTCTTAATGCGACATAACGGCAAAGAAACGACTTCCAGATTATTTTCTTTTATCTTTGTTGTAAAATCTTGCTTTCAGCAGAAATTCATGGTTGTAATTCATGATGTCAACGAGAAGTAGAGTTTTATTTACCTACCTGCGAAATGTTCATCGATTAAAAAGAGTAGAATCTAAGGCATATTTTTTTGCTTAAGTTGACTCAGAATCTTGTTATTTATGCAACACGTTTTTTTTTTGGACTTGTAACTCTTGGGTGACTTTATAGAAACAAACCGAAGAGTATATTCGATTCTTCGACATGTGGCAACGGATTCGTGGAGCCTGGCGAGCAGTGCGACTGTGGCGCGCCAGCTGTGGGGGACTCTCACAACTCTTGCAGAGCGTGCTGCGACCCTAGAACCTGCCTGCTCAGAGAGAATGCTACCTGTAGCACTGGTATGTGCTGCGATCTTAAGGTGGGCTCTTACACTGATTCTGAAGGGGTTCTTAAGTTCCTGACCAACTGACTGGCTGCTTTAGATATAAGTTTTTATTTTACTTCAATGAATAGTTTAACTTTGCAGTTTAGTACAAATTTGGTTTAAAATAAACAATCTAAACATTTGTCTGTTGTTAACATATTGGCGTAACCTCGTGTTGAAATTGCTACAGTTCATAGTTTTTTGTTCTAACCACAACGAAGAGGAGACACGGTTAGCTTCTTCTGGAGTGTTTGCATTGTGATTGTTTGGTTCCGAAGACCTGGCTCTCTCAACGGTGGTTTTAGAGCTGGGAACTTTCTTACTCGATTCGCTGGATTCTATGTATGTTGCTGCAAAATTATCTCTATACTGATTTACTGTAGAACCTGACATGTTTTGTATTTGGATTTGGTTTTATAGGCAAACATGGTTCTCTATGAATATATGTATATTATTCATAATCCTCATCATCTTAACCGAAAGACTTCCGCTGCTGGGTGCATAGGCCTCCCTGAAAGTTCGCCACAATATCCGGTCCTGTGCTATCCGCATCCAACGTACCTATATTTTATTATAGTTATGTAATTTTTTCAGACATGTCGTCCAATGGCGGTGGGTACTGTATGCCGATCTGCTAAGAGTGAGTGTGATTTGCCGGAGTACTGCACGGGACAATCCGAATACTGTCCGGATAATGTGTATAAAATGGACACGATACCTTGTGGTAGCGGTGAAGAGGTAAAACGCTGTGACTTTAGATATGTGTTATTTATTAAAGTATTCAATTACTATTTAAAATCAAAAAGAGAAGGTACAAATAATAGAAGTTACTACTACTACTACCAACTCAAGGAAGAACTTTGGAGGACACAAAAAGGCCGTCAAATAGTTATTAATATCAACCCATTTTTTTCGTGATAGACCGCGTACTGCGTAAAAGGCGGTTGCCGCTCACACTCGGACCAGTGTCGTCTACTGTGGGGCTCATCTGGCAAGTCCTGTCCCAATGATATTTATAACCACAATATGAAAGCTGGGTATGTACGTTGCTTGCATTATAACATAAAGATAATAATAATAAATCTTTACAGATTTAAGTGTATTTACTGTAAATATATAATTAATTATAAACAATGTAAATAATTAAAGTAAGACATTTGCTGAGATGGAAACTCGCTTTGACCTGAAAAAAGTATGTAGCTATTAGTATTACTATAGCTATGTAACTAAAAAAATATAATTATTTAAAATTATCAATCAACTGTTGTTTTAAGGTCGTGTGTATTGGTTTAAACTGGGAAAAAGTCCGTTGCCGTATTTGTAGTTTAGACACTAATAATCCGTATTCATATCATATAGATGGTGGTAGGTACATTCATTTCATTTGAATTCCACACATTATTCTATATTTATATTTATTTATTTGAAGGAAAACCAATAGCTTTAACATTGAGATAGTGACAATAATATAAAACATTTAGCCAATTAAAGGTCTTCTCAGATATAATATATATTTCAATAATTACTTACAATGATATGTTTCAAATAATGAAACTAACTATAAGCTATGTTTCATTTGGGATTCTAGAAAGCGTTGTGTAACCTGTTACATGTTTCGGTATATTATAGCACAGGGTAGGCGAACCAATGGCACGCGTGCCGTTGATGGCACGCGACACAATATTTTGGGCACGTCGCCGATCATAAAACATGTGTAAAAAATGTGTTAAGTAGGTATTTTATGACGATCGAACCTACGCTACGGAATGTTCGGTTGAGGCTAACCTGCAAGCATCAGAAACGATATAATCACAAGAAACTACAAGTATTTTCCAAACTTGAAAAAATATATAATTGATTTTGACATTCACGAGACAGCAGACAAAGAATAATTTACTGAGAATTTATTTCTGTTATCGATTCTTTAATTAAAGAATTTTTAGGGAGATTTTCTCAGTTCAAAGAATTGTCGGAAATACTCAAATTTATTATGTACCCTGATGTGACGTCATTTCATAAACTGAACGTCTCTCAATTCGATTGGTTGGAAATTAAAGAATTTGAAATGCAGTTGATTGATTTCCAATCTAGTTCAATATGGATTCAAAAATTTATTGAAACAAGGAAAGAGTTGGAATTAATTGAAACTGAAAGATTGATTAGTAATTTAAGTAAAAATGCTAATAACAAAATTCTGGAAACATGGAATGCGTTACCAGACACATTTAACTGTTTGAAGAAGCTGGCTCATGCTATTTTAACAATGTTTTCATCTACCTATGCCTGTGAGACATTATTTTCAGAGATGTATAACATTAAAAACTCGGTTAAAAACCGTTTGATAGATGAATCCAGTTCAGCATGCATTTTGCTAAAAGTAACATCTTACAACCCTAACATAATTTATTTGTCATCTAACTTGCAGCAACAGAAGTCACACTAATTTTACAGTAATTTAATTTATGCGTGTAATAAAAACATTTCTAAATGTACCTCTTTTGTTTACTTTATTTAATAAAGAGTTTTGATAGTATTTATTATTGTTATTTTCCAAATAATCATTATCATCATCAGCCTATCAAAATGAAAAAATAATCAGAAAGTCAAAATTATTTGATGGCACGCAATGACCCCATTAAATATTTTTTAGAAAAAATGGCACGTTGATGCATAAAGGTTCGCCTACCCTGTTATAGCATATGCCTGCAGTTTCGCCGGAATGGGCCTCATTTACTGCAGTAATAAATGAAATTCATGTAACTCTTTCCAGGTACATCAATCCTAACAACCATCAATCCTCACAAATTTCTATCTTTATAATGTTAAAAACTCTGCACAGTAAAATATTATCCATTACTGCGCAGATATGGCGGCTGCGGCTTTGATCGTTTATCAAATACTAACCAGCAGTGCGAGAAACATGACGTCATGTGCGGCAGGGTCCTTTGCACGCATCTCTCGAAGTCTTCCAGAAGCACCGGTGATCTCCAAATCGGTTCAGAGAACAGTGTACATTACGTTTCTTTAAAATCTTCTGGTAAGCATCTATTGTACTTAATACGGCACAGATGTCGTAGTGGTTTAAGCGGTCACCTCGCCGCTACCAACAGCGCTGTGTGTTGTGGGTTGAATCCCCACATGCGACAACACTTTGTGTGATCCACAGATTGTTCTGAGTCTGGGTTTTCCTTGTGTCTGTTTCATGTGTAATTCCCTCGCGACTATATTCGGCGATATACCTAGGGCGGGAGTAGTCTTTTCAAATAAAAATACCAATTTTTTTCCTGTACCATGGTAACCAGACTCTACGGATAAACATGCCTACATATACATTTCCAAATACATATCAATAAATGCCGGACATCAAAATAGTAGAGCTCACCATATAATTACTTGTCCTATATGAGAATGGGAACCATACTCTAATCAGCCAGAGGCACTAAAGATAGTCAACTGACGTTGGCCTTAATCCAAATATATAACATTCTGTGCTAGTAATCTACTAGAAATCAAATAATTAATACGACCCCATTTTATTTGTTTGTTACAGAAAGAATTCTCACGTGTTTCGCGGCTTCCGTTGATCTGGGATTGAGCGTCGTAGATTTCGGTATGGTGCCAGACGGTGCAAAATGCGGTGATGGAATGGTAGCTAATTAAAATTATTGTAAATTGTAGAACAATTAGAACTATTGTCTATCGGTTTATCTGTTGTCAAGATGATCTGGAGTTGCGGTGTCCAAGGTCTCGTAACAAAAGTTCGGTCAAAACTTAGTTCAGATCAACTCTCGAACTCGCAACTTTTATAATAGTAATATATATAAATATATATATATATTTTACACATCTCACACACGGCCGTCTGATCCCAAACTAGTCAGAGCCTGTGCTATGGTAACCAGACCTGATAAACATACTTATATATTTCTAAATAAATACATTTCATAGCTAAATTACACCTAGACACAGAACAGATGATCGTGCTCATCACACAATTATTTGTCCTGGGTGGGAAAAGAACCCACGACCTCCGGCTTAACAGTCAGGGTCATTAACCACTAGACCAACAGCCCCGTCATAGTTTCATAAAAAAAGTATTGTCGTAGTAAAATATTAAAGTTTTACTAAGACTAGCAGATTATCGATTCAATTTTCGGTTACAATTCGATATAAGCACATTGAAAATGTATATTATGGCTACCGTATTATATCTATATTGTCCTTTCACAGATGTGTCTTCAGCAAGAATGCGTGTCGGTGGATACCGTGAGAGAAAGGATTGCTCATGTTGACTCGTCAGTATGTCCCTCTGACTGTTCAAGCCATGGTGTCTGTAACTCTTTGGGTAATGTTATTTATTTTATTACGAGATACTTTTTCTAGATACTGATATTCGTTTCCTCTTTTCCATTGCAAGATTTTGCAATTTCATATGAGTTATACCTACGAAGGTATAATTTTTATAAAATAGAAAAAAATATCGTTAAAGTATAGTTTTTTCTTTTGACAACACTATTTTCTAGACAAAAGCTAGACCAATAAAAGAGCAATGTTAGGTATATGCATTTTAATACAATATAGTACTATAAAAGTAGACCTAGGATCAAATAATTAAAAATTAACGTTTAATGTTTAGGACACTGTCACTGCGAACCGGGCTTTGCCCCACCTTTGTGCGCGGAGCCAGGCGCCGGCGGGTCTTATGACTCTGGACCCGCTTCTGATGAAAGTAGTAAGTATCTGTCTGTCTACTATCTCTGCATAAAATTGACTGCACGGATGGCGCAGTGGTTTAAGCGGTCGCCACGCCGCTTCCTAGCGGTCCCGCGCCGAGTGTTGTGGGTTCAAACCCCACATGGGACGACACTTTGTGTGATCCACAAATTGTTGTTCTGAGTCTGGGTGTTCTTTGTGTCCGTTTCATGTATGTTTGTAAAGTCCCCCGCGACACAGGATATATTCCTAATGCGGGAGTTGTCTTTTTCAATTAAAAAGAGAAAAAAAAAAAAAAAAAACTAACTGTTACCTATTAATATAGTGAACTAGTCTAACATCTGCAGCAAATGCAAGTTTCTATAATAAAAATAGGACAAGTGCGAGTCGGACTCGCCCACCGAGGGTGTCGGACAAAGTAGGTACATATTATAAATAAAGGTGTCTCAGTAAGAGTGCACTTTTTCATTTTAAAATAAAAACACGTATTTTATGAAAGAGTTGTGATATTTTTTGTATTGGATTGTAAAGCAGACATGTTCCCATTAAGTATGGAATAAAATATCCGGCAAATGGCAAATAGCAAAATCTGATGACACTCTTTTCATGAAATTTGACTGTATCTCACCGATGATTCGTTGCATCTCTGATTTGAGCTCAGGAATTGTTACTGGTTTATTCGCATAAACCTGAGATTTCACAAACCCCAAAGAAAAAAATCGTACGATCTTGGTGCCCACATCAGAATTTCGTTAAAACATTTATTCTGGAAATTGTTGCTGCAATAAGTCGATTGTTTCATGCGCGATGTGGCAGGTGGCGCCGTCCTGCTGAAACCGCATGTTGTCCAGATCCATGCCGTGCAGTTGAGAAAACAAGAACTCCGTTATCATATTCCTGTAACGAATACCGTTCACAGTCACTGCAATTTCGGCCTCATCTTCAAAAAAGTAAGGCCCAATCACGACGCGTGACCAAAATCCGCACCAGACAGTTGCTCGTTGTGGGTGCATTTGTTTCTCATGGATTGCATGAGAATTCCCCCCAAATTCGACAATTTTGTGTATTCACGTAGCCATTCAGATGGAAATGTGCTTCATCAGAGAAGATGACTTTTTTCGAAAAATTAACATCGACTTCACTTTGCCACTTTACAATTCGGTCATTAGGTAATCCCATTGAACGAATTGCCCGCGCTTTCCATGGTTTGCTGGTTTGAGCTCCTGAATTAGCTAAATCTTGTACGCATGAAGGTGGAGGTCTTTTATCAAAATTCACTGCGTAGTGCTTCGTGAAATTTGAAGTTGTTGAGAACGATGCCGAATAGATGTCTTCGGGTTTTCGGCGATACTCTCGTTTACAGCACCAATGTTTTCAAGTGACCAACCGGTATGTTGACGCAAAGGATTCTTAATATCCATAATCGACCCAGTTTTTTCAAATTTTTTGACCACTCTTCGAATGGTTGACACATTAGGTGCACTTTCTCAACTGAAAATTGTATGACTGAAAAAGGGCTCCATTTTTAATAATCGGAATAAACATAGGTGACAGCTGTCAAATTTCAAAGTTGTCACTCGCACGAAAAAAAAGATTCTTCAAGTGCCCTCTTACTGAGACACCTTTAGTTCAGGAATCAGGTAATTTAATTACAAATTAGTTTTCAGATTTTTCCCTGTACTTGTAGTATACGACTATGTTACTAGCCAAATTTTATAGTTCTAGGTCAACGGGAAGTACCTACCCTATTAATTTTGATTCCCTTGAGTGTCGAATTATCTTTTAATATATAAACGGCCTTGTCTTTTTTTACTTTAACTGAGAGGTTTCATTATTTATTTATTTTTTTATTATGAAAATCGGCCTGAATTCCGTTGACCTGCAATATTGGACATAAATACTTCTTTTTAATATATTTCTAGATTTTACTTAACTTTTTTGGCATCTTAAATAGATACTCTTTATTTTACACCAAGAAAGTACCTATCTCTACTGTTTTAATCTCAGTAATCAGTTTCAAAGTACTCAGTAGTATTTAGTTTAAATGTTGGTTTCACAAACATGATGTTTTATCATGACTTTAATTAGAATTAAACTTATTTACAGTTCTGAGAAAATTAATGGTGGCTTTGTACGTGATATTCCTCGGCGTTGTGCCTGCGATCGCGTTGATCTTAATCATCATATTCTGTTACCGAAACAAAGGTTTTGAATGGAAATACAAATTTAAAATGAGCTTTAAATCAAGAGAAAACAAGAATTTTAAAAATAATCTTGGTGAAGATGATTCTCCAATATATGCAAATACTGAAATCATTTCCAGTTTCTCCCATAACAGAAACGCCAATACAGATACCAACTGCAGTTCCTCTGCAATCCGTCCAATATATGCAAACATTGAAGAAATTTCAAATCAATCAAATCGGAAAAGTCCACGCTATACTTCTAATGTTAATGGCAGTCAGAAGAAAATCCCACCCGTAAAAGAATTAAAACCAACAACTAGAAGTGATTACAAAATGGTTAGTACCGAAATTGGTCAAATTAATCTGCGGCCGCTGGCGAAACCTGGGCCCAGTTTGGACAACTTGCCAATTAAAAATCGACCAATAGTCGTTCACATTAAAGGCTTAAATTCTACGACCAATACAATGGTGGGGAAAATTCAGCATCGTAGCTATAATGTAGGTAATAGTGATGATGTAAATAAGTAAAATTATAAAAGTCGCAGGTCTAATAAATACCATTGAAGTGTTTATGAAATGATAAGGATAGCTTTCCGAAGTTGATGAAAACGCGTAAGTTAACGGAAGATTATTTAAAATTAAATAAAGTGTCAAAAGAAGTGAAATTTCGTCTTAATTCAAAACTGCCAAGTGAAAATTGTTAAGTAGGCACCTTCAAACTGTAACTAAACCAAAAGAGAAGAAAAATCGTAGACACGGTTATTCTTTCAAGAATTGCCCACTTCTAAACTTATCGTTTGCTGAATTAGTATTTTTGTTACTTTCAATTCCAAAAATATACTTATTCATTAACACGGAACGTTGACACTTACGGTAGGGCTAGTTCACAAGCTGGAAAGAGCTATGCGATGGATCGCATCAGGAATGAGATGATCTAGCTTAGTTTACAACCGTTGGTGTAAACGAGTTCTTGAGTGGAGACCACGTCTAGGCAAAGTAGTGTGGGACGCCCACAGGTCAGATGGATTGATGTTTTGCACAAGATGGCTGGCAGGAGCTGGATGCGTGAAGCCGAAAATCGATCTAAGTGACCTATGTCCTGCAGTGGACTGCGATAGGATGATGATGGTGATGATGAATTACTAATTTACTGCATACCTCTAATTTGCCACTTCTGATTTGTGAATCTTATTTTTGATTACTTTACTGATTTTGGGGCTGTACGAAAATCATACCCAGTGAACACATGACCTCTATATAACTTTAAAGATAGGTCACAGAGAGATCATGGAATTTCTTATGATATGACATATAAATGACTATATAGATGACTTTGTTATGATGTCATAGTATGACACCATTATAACGTAGTCCTGATCTAAAATTTGCATTTTATATGAAGTCATAATTGTGACTTAAATATTACAAAAATATTATGTCCTACAAGATATAATATATAATATTATGACGTTAGTTACTTTCGACCCTGTTTATTTCTTTACGTTTCGTTGTTTTTTTACAGCCTTAGCATCAAAACCAAAAAAAAAACCTTTAATAACTAGTGAAATATTCTCTTTAATAAAATAATATAATGAATTTATATTCTTATTCAAATATTATCAAAGAAGATATTGTAGTCCCGTGATAATTAAACGAGAATGTTTAGACATACATATCTAATCTAAAAAGCATGCAGCATCCCATACCGGTCCCGTTTGTAATTTATTGTCACTGAAAATATCCTGGTGAGCAATAAAAACATTTTGGAGATCAACGTCTTGCAAAGGAAAATGTATCCTAAGCCTGATAGTCTCCCGGCATGTTTTTTTCCTAAACGAATTAAAATATAGTTTTGTGCTTGAGTGTTTGATAAATAAAACTATAATTATAATTACTGTTGGCTATAATTCGTTCATTTTCAAACCGAATAACTAAGAGTGGTTATGACAACTACTTCTACCTCAATAGATGGCGAGCTACCATTTTTTTAAATCGCGATATGGTTCTGTTACTCGTGCAGGTTTATTAAGTGTATAAAAATCATAGGCTGACCAAATAAATATAAATTAAAACGATACTATGACAAAAATACTATGGATTGTGGTGTGGTCACGGCACGACATTTCTTGGATGTCTGGCCTTCGGTATGGTTATGGATCTTCCACTGAATTTACGTGGTTGGTGCTTTTATTCTGTTATATTATATTTGTTTATATTGACTGCAGGGGATGGCGTAGTGGTTTAAGCGGTTGCCGCTCCCCTTACTATTACGCTGAGTGTTGATGATTTGATGCGACATGGGACGACACTTAATGTGATCCACAAATTGTTGTTCCGAGTCTGGGTGTTCTTTGTGTCCATTTCATGTGTTTGTAAAGTCCCCCGCGACACAGGATATATTCCTAATGCGACACAGGATATATTTCTAATGCGAGTGGTCTTATTAAAGAAAACTTGCATCCATTAGAGCGTATGAAATTGTGCGTAAAATATTTACATGTTTTTATGGAACAGGGTCAAACGAGCACACAGATCACCTGATGGAAAACGACTACCGCCGCCCATGAACGCCTGCAGTTCAGGAGTCTCAAGCGCGCGTTGCCGGCCTTTGAGGAAGGAGTACGCTCTTCTCTTGAAAGCTAAAAATTCGTATCGGTCCGAAAATACGGCAATTTGTTCCTAAAGTTGGATTAAGATCATACTTAAAACACTTTAAGGTCAATGTCATGTCATACAAATACAGTGAAATAAAACTCAAGAGAATGAAAGATTGTTTAATCAATCTTTGTCTTTGTTTCTTCAACAATATGTAGGTAACAAAATAATGTCTGTACCTTAACTTAGCAGTATAAAAAGTATAACAGTTTCCTTCTTGGATTTAGATGGCCAGCCATTTACATCAAATGCTGATCATTTTAAGTGAAAATGATATGCACAACTCGTGACGGATTTCGCACATTTGTAGGGAGAATTAAACTCGTACAGTTGAAGGGAAATAAAAACATATATGAAATAGTTCAAGATACAATGTTTAATATTGTACTGGTACCGACATTATTAACGGCAATATACATATTTCTGGGTCTCTTCGTAAATTAAATATGAAAAAATTATAATGTCTAATTTGGGCGTTACTGCGACCTTTATTTCTATTTATAAATAAATTTATTGTGAGCTGCTGAAGTCAGTCTTGTGAGTTTTTGTTATGGTATAGAGGGCTACCGAACCAGGGGTTACCTGATGGTAAATGACTATCACCTCCCATGACCACCTGGAACTCAAGAGATAATGCACGCAACAATAATTCTGAAATATTATGGTTCAGAACTATTTTGAGCCTCCAGTAAGCTCATTCCGTCGATGAAAAGTAATGATAGAATTGCTTAATACATGTTTTATTGTAAGGGTAGGGTCAGTTCGGTAGGGCCCGGATATCTTAATAACAGCAGTTCCCGGATCCCTCCTACTACAGGCGAAGAGTGGCACACCGTGTGGTTTTAGTCGGTCCGATTCCGACACACCACCCCACCGCAAACGGTAGCGTGAGGGCCCGAGGGGGGTTTCCACACGCAAAAAAGCAACAGTTCGGTAGAGCCGACCCCATGTGTGCTGAAGCATTCTAATTTGGTCTACATGTGCGCACGAACACCGCTGAAGTATTTTCAATGAAAGCAACCATGCTAAAGAAATACATACATTTTTCATATCTAAGAAAATAACTACGTACCAGTGGGCATAGAGGCACGTTGTTTGTGATTATGAAATCACTAAATAATAAAAATCGAAAAACTAAATACACATTATATACACAAAAAAGCTCTTTAGCCGTAGGTAATCACAGATAAACACAACTTGGCCACTGTAAGGTGTTAATTATTTTCGATGAACCATAGACAATGTTAACCTTGAACATAATCACAGGAATTATTGTCATGTCACCTTACAGAGGTCATGTAGGAATCATGGAACTAAAATACTCATGCCATGCGATTTTTTGGTTTTATTCTTTGAGAAGACCTTTAAAATATACGAGGTATACGAATCTAAATCACATTTATGTAAATAGCTTGACCTAAAGGCGTTTAAACACAGTATGAAACTATAGCAAGTCGTCTTAACCAGTAATACACGTGCTGTGATTTTGGCGTACGCGTAATTGTCATACATTATACTTTTTTTTTAAATTTTTTAGGTATTACAGTCGCCTATACATTGATATGAACTTTCTAAACGTTACCCAGGGTCTAATTGAAGAAAAAAAGCAGCTTATATTTTAATTACATATTTAAATCTTTAGACGTTAGATTATATTGTTAATGTCTTGTATACATGTTTTTAACAACGAATGGCTACAATATTGTTTTAGGTACAAAAACTTGAAAAAATAGTTCTATTGTGTGTCATAAATAAATAAATAAATATTGTTTATAAATCTTGACTAAATATATATTGACTATACATATATAGGTATCTATGTTTTATAAAAATGTTATGTAAATTCTGACCTCCCACTCCCTTATGTAATTTTATCTCGCTTCTACAACATTATAGGCTAGTATACATTAAATTAAATGTATTATAATATTTCTTATGAAATATTCATATTTATTTAAAGTATACGGTTTCACTTCCTAATATAGGATGTCAATTATCAAGGCGCGAAGCTTCCTGAATGACCCTCCCGGACCCCCGTCGGGACCGAAAGTAATCGGGCATCCCAGAAATAGAACCGTAAATAAAACCATATATCTTTAATAAACACTTATTACATTAAAAAAACTACATGTACCACAAAAATTAGCAATACATAAAACTAGGCCTCTAACAAACCCCTTTATACACAGACTGTATTTCATGTGATAATGCATCCACTTAAAGACTAACTTGGCTTGTAGTTTGTAGACCCTGGGGACAGCCAGTTCACCAGTCTATAACTTGAATATGTGACCTACTGAGCCCATATTTTATGAGTGTGTAGCCTTCATTGATCTCCAACAAGAGACTTATTGTATTATGTGAGATTTTATTTCTAGACTGGCCGACTTTTGCCTAAAAAAGCTAATATAGATTCAAAGTTATGAATACCTACTGCAACTTACACAACAATCCTTAGATAACAATTTGTATGATTTATAAATAGGTATATTTGTTGTACTCATTATTACTGTGATTTTTTGGCGAAAATTGTGTGGTTTACGGCCATTGGATTAACTTTAAATGTTAGTATGACCAGTTTATTCCACAAGGCGATAGTTTTGTTCAGGCATAGGACAAAAAGCTGCCATAATATAGATTTGATATATATTCCTATTGTTGCGGTTTATGTACTTCAGGATCCTCAGCATCTATGACCCTTTCTAACAAACTGTATAACTGTACACCGAGAAAACGAACAGAATAGAATAAACATTGATAGTTATACGATTCCGCTTCAAATTATTTATAAAAGACCAGATACAGTTCTAAAATAGAATTACAGTCCAGAAATTAAATGCTCGTTACTGCCTACGGCTCAGTTCATAGAAGGGAGTTTTAAAGCTGAAGACAGGTTATTATTTAGAGGTTTATAGAATAGGCGCGTAAGCGCATGAAAAAAATATATAAAGTGAATGATCCTGGAGTAGCAGTCAATTGTGGGAGTCAAAGAGAAGAATAGGTAAAAAAGATTTTGTGTCTATTATAAAAAGAAACGTTTACGAGTGTCCATTATGTATAACGGCATACGTTACTTTGTCGACACAACAACTTCAATAACAAGATAAATATGTCTAATATACGTATCCCTTTATCACTTAAAACAATAGTCTTTCGTCACCCGACAGTTCTCGACTAAAAGTACAGTAGAGCTAACTAGTATGTACACATACACATTACACTTCACATATAGTCTTAAGGTTCACTTCACTTGGACAATAGGGGCGTGTTCATGTTGAACTTGTATATGTTGGTGCAGATGTCGTGGAGCTCCTGCGGGTCTTCGTAGGCCGTGCATATCCTGAGCTTCCGCTCGCGGTTCTCCGTGTACAGCTCTATGACGTTCCACTGGCGCAGGAGTCGCAGGCAGTTGCGTATTGCGTCTGTCGAAACTGCTTCTCCTGGAAATATAACGTTTATTCATTAATAGCAGAAACTTTATTATTTCGGGTTTAACTAGCAAATGTTTTTATTATAATATACAGATATGAAGATTAGTGAATTCGCCTACACAGGATAGGTATAAAATTGAAAGTTAAGATAACGTTTGGATATTAGAACGTATATGGTTCGTCGTGGCGCGTAGGTAGGAGCGGGGCGAGAGGGGCGAGAGGGGCGAGAGGGGCGAGAGGGGCGAGAGGGGCGAGAGGGGCGAGAGGGGCGAGGGGGGCGAGTACCGTAGATCATGCGGTTGTGCACGAAGTCGTCGGTGAGCGCGTCGAGCGTGTCCTTGACGAGCCCCTTGACGGTCCCGGCGCGCAGCCGCCGACACGTGCGCGCGTACGCCTCCAGCAGCGGCCGCACCGTCAGCACCAGGCGCCGCCTGACACACGCAACACATTACTCTACTACTACTTCCATTATATTTAACATGCTGAGCGTATTGAACACTTAAAATTTACCAAATATAATTAGATCCTACAGGAGACGAACCTATATTCATCGACTGAATTTCGAATACATGTTTTTTTTTTTTATATTTTATATACAAATGTTAAGATGGAAGTATTTTTTTAGTGACATAGCGTTATCTACCGTCTGGTGATAAATTGCTTAGGCGAAAGATAAAAGTGAAGCACATTTATAATTACAGAGGAATTGGGAAGTACAAATTATGGCTCGAGTCATGTCATAACAAAATCTCATACCCGAAAAGCAAAACTGACTGTTTGCCCGATATTCATAGACTTGGTGTTAAATTATACTAATATATTTTATATTTACTACATCATATTAAAAAAAAAAATACAATTTTATTACTATTTTTTTGTAAATTGTGCAAATTTCATTTATTTGTATTAAAAATTTTATTTACATTATTTTTTTAAGCTTTTTTTATTATTCACCATTCATAAGGAAGTTAAAAAAGTTAAGTTAAGATTGTACCTCTCAGCTAAAGCTTGCGGTGTGTCTAGTATGGTATACTTGAGGCGTTGAGCAGGATCGGGCCTCTCCGTACACTCATCACCATCTTCCAGGTGCTTAGCAAACCGACGTGACCATTGCTCTTCTTCCAAACCCAGGACATCCTGTAACCATTAAAAAAATGGAGTGTACGCCACAGCTTTCTGCCAGAACTACTAATAGGTACGGTTACTCGTCACTGGAGCACATTTATTTCTAGGTCTCTTTTATCATCCTCAACCAGAAGTCAAAATATAATCGTAATTAATTGAATTACTGATTACATTAAAACTACGTCAGCAGAGAAATGGCACTTTCTAGTCATTTATTGATGATTGAACATTGTTAACAGCTACTTAATAACAAAATAGACATGATAAGTACTGAGTTGTGTTTTCTTTACCTATTTAAATAAATATGTCAAACGCAGCATCCAGTTCGATATGCTCCAGATCAAACGGCAAGGTTACCTTAATAGGAGTGAGGACTTCAGAGCCGACGAGCGAGTCGATGGCGTCGAGCATCTTCTCCTCAATGCGAACGCAAGGTGAGCACAGGATGAACTCGTGGCTAAGCACCTCGCACAGCGACAGCGCCGAGCTCACCAGCTGGCTCTGAGACACCTCCGTCACCGGACCAGGAGACGATGCTATGATGGATTCTAAGGCTGTCGCTAAAAGCACACGTATACCATTTTTTTACAACCATAGAACTATACTCAGGTAGCAAAACATCTGAGTTACGTTTATAAAACTAGTAGGGGCACGAGATGTGAACCTTGTGGTACCCCGCTAATTGAAATGTTGGATTTAAGTTTTGTTTTCTTTTTAATAAATGAGGAAGAAGACATTTAAGCAACTGTTTCATGGTAATATTTCAGGATAGTACCTTTATATGAGTATCAAAAGCTAAAAAAAAATTTAGCACTTTACGAAATGAATGACATTTTGAAACTTTATACTCGCAAATATCTCCGGATAGGGTACATTGTTTTAGTGACAAATAAATTCGGTTTTAAGATATTTAAGATATCGAAGATTTGTAATTGTTGACTCATACTGCATGTCTAGTATTTTTTTTTACTCTAAGATAGTAAATAACAGTTTGATGTACTTTATACAATCAATCAATCATCATCATCATCATCATCAACAACTATTGATTATATCATTATTATTACTACAAATTATCTACTATTTATTTCATTGTCGTAATAAAAGTTTGGTCACAAATCAGTGCCGATCTACTTTCGAAAGTCACACAACTGTCATAAAAGGTACTCTTGTAGTATAATATTAGTATAGTATTACTAAAGTCCTTGTGGTGACGGATTAAGAATACAGAGTGTCACCATCCCTGTTTATCCCGTGCGTGTCGTAAGACCAGAACAGCACTGCAAAGAGAAGGAAAACTTGACACAACCCCTATAACCAACCCATTTGGCGAGCGTGATGTAATAGGCCAAATCCTCTTTTCTAAGGAGAGGCCGATGTCCTGCAGTGGACCATTAAATGATGATGATGATGATGTCCTCGTTTGATAAAAATGCAACGCAAGGGATGTATAGTGTCGTACCGATTATGGCAGGAGCGGCGTAGTGCGCTACGACGGCGTTGGCGTAGTACGACAGCTCCAGCAAAGCCGCGATAGACGCCACGGGACGGACTATAGAGGCGCGCTCACGACGTACCAAACCCCTGCCCAGAGTGTCGAGCTGGAAATTAAAAGTTAATTATATAAACATCTTCGAGATTTTAGCAATGTAAGAGCTCGATGGAGAATATAAACTCATCAACAGCCTTTACTAGTCCACTGCTGGACGTATGCGTCTCCTCAGAAAGGAGGATTTGGCCTACTATACTGGCCAGACGGGTCGGTATAGGGTACAATATAAACTCATTCCAATTATAAAAGTAACGGAAAAACCTTTTATTATTTAATGTGAGGGTGTCTAGCCTCCTGCGAACGTTACCAATAGGCAACGGTGTAGAGAGATATAAGGACACATCTATACAATATTATCTTTACATAGTATAAAATTAAGTCGATTTTTGTATAGTACGCTTAGATCTTTTAAACTAAGCAACGGCTTTTAATGCGGTTTTGACCAATAGAGAGAGTGATTTAAGAGGAAGGTTTATATGTATAATACATGCATATTATAGTAGAGAAAATTCGAGAATTTTAAATATTTGCAAACGCTGGCTAAACCTTATAGACCACCATAGAAATAGACCAAATAATGTACTATGGAATTTTATATATTTAAAAGATCTACAAAAGAAGTCCGCGATGGTATATGTTTATCTTCTAAAGATAAGCCACAGTAACCACTTTTACCTTTTAAATATTACAAAAATATAACGTATTATTTACGAAGTTATTTTAAACAACACTTTATTATTCTATATCCAATTAAATACGATAGATACGTTGTGCATTTAATGTAGATTAAAATTGTTCCGTGGAGCGTATCATTAAAATGAATATTTTAAAAGATATTGGAGGTTTATATTCGGGGGCCCAAACGACCGTCGAGCCGTACGTCCGTCCCTAGTGGCAGCGGCCGGCAGGATCGGAGTGGACTTATAAATATTGCATTTAAAGATAGTCCTAACATAATAATAGTATAATTAATTACTACACACTGCCACCACATTAGTAGTATCAGTAGTATCTACATTGCATCCGTGCGAAGCCGGGGCGGCTCGTTAGTTTATTATAAATGACAATTAGAATTATGTAAAACGAGCTTCAGCCTGTGGCTTATCACTATAGACATTCTCATTCAAGGTTCTCAAGTTTAAATCTGTGTCTATCTGTGCTAGAAGATGATTGGATTTAGGTGTAAAAGGAATAACAGTAACAAAAAACAAATACGCTTGCACGAGAAAGTTCATATAAAGAGTGTCGGAAAGCAAAGCAGACGCACCGCAGCCTTGAGCGCGTGGTGCGCGTCGCCGGTGTAGCCGAGGTCGCGGCCGTCGCGCAGCAGCGCGGCCTGGCGCGCGGCCAGCGCGGCGCCCAGCTGCGCCGCCCCCGCGCCGCGCCGCAGCTCCGTCAGCAGCACGTACGACGTCACGTTCGTGCACATCAGCGCCGTCGCCACCGCCGCGTCTGCACCACAACCGCGCACCGCACGCTACTTATTTATTTACGACGACTTACAAACATGCACTTATACATACTTTACGAACGTGTTTTACGATTATGTGCTGAGTGTTTTACTTACAGTTGGTGATGGTGATATTTACAACATCGCCATATCGGTTAAATATATCGTTTCCTTATATATTTAAAATACATCGTAAGACATCGACGACATTTGTATCATTTGTATTTGCAGCGGAGCACGAAAAGTGCAAAACTATTCCGACGACAGTCCATCGACAGTCTATTAACACAATATTAAAATAGCAAAATTGAAACCCTGATCGAAATCGAATCAGATGTCATTCATTGTTCTTTTTTTTAGAGTAATGTAGCAAGCAAGCAGTAAATCACTCACTATTTTATTTAAATTCGGTCTAACCGAGATCCCTGTGGCATCCCAAATGTCAATTACGAAATTATTTCAGGGATATTCCGTCTCAAATAAAATAAAAACGTATTTATGTACTAACTTACTTTGATTTGAAAACATTTATGTAAAATAGTATTTACTAGAATTTATTTACCGTCTTTAACTGACTGTTGATTACAATCTTTATTACGTTAATAAATTTACTAAATATCTATACATTACTTCATTTTTAATTCTAAATCTATTAAATATCAAGTCAGAAGCAATTTTTTTTAAGAATGTCAGTTCAATTTTTCCACATTGTTTACTCACCATACACGACATGTCTGCCGATCGCCTCAACCATCATTTTATGTTCTGTGCTGACGTCCGCTCCGTACAAACTTGAGTGACTGTGATTGTATAATATTTGCCTATCGAGATTAACGGATAAATTGTTGTTTGGAGGAGATAGAGGTGTTTCTATAGGTGCTTTGAAGTGATTATATTTCTGGAAGGACATCACCAATTCCTAGGAAAAAAAAAAACAAAAAATAAATATGGTAACGAGTCAAAGTGGTAATATAATATTTAATTACTAATTTTTAAAACAATGCAAATACTATTGCCAGTTTTAATTTTGTTTATTCATAGATTTAATTTCAAGTTTTATACACAGAATGTTTAACGTCGAATAAATAGGCACAGAAGAACCTTTAAGTAATCTATTATGACATACCTTTAGAGAAATAGGCTGATTGAAATCCACCCTAATACTGCCATGGTTAGTGTTCAAAGTCCGCCAAATACCACGCAGCGCTGACCAGAAAGTCTCCATCTGCTTGGGCATGCCGAGCTGTTCGCGGACGAAGTTGCCGTCCACCAGTTTGTCGTAATTGAGGGTTACGGGTACCAGTAGAGCATCATCAATTTTACCGTCTAGGTACGCATCCATGATTACTGAGAGAATTCCAGCTAAACAAAGAATATCATAGATTTATTCTTTTTATTTTTAACCAGCTTCTGGTAATAGTATGATTGCGTTAATGTAGATTTTGTCGAATAATACCGAGTGTCTCTTGAAACACATTAATCTAATAACTATTTATTTACTGGAACACATTTTATATTAAAACCAAGTGAAACTTTAAATTAACTGCAGGGCTGGCGTGGTGGTTTAAGTGGTCACCTCTCCGCTTCCTATTGTGCTGAGGGTTGTGGGTTCGTTCCTCACATGGGAGAACACTTTGTGCGATCCAAAAATTGTAGTTCTGAGTCTGGATGTTCTTTGTGTCCGATTCATGTGTTTGTAAAAGTTCCCAGCGACGGAGGATATATTCCTAGGTGAGTTTTAAATACCAAACAACTAAGTGAAATATGATAATAAACTACGAGTATTAATACAATATACGTATATTAAGACCGTTATTAAGCTATCAAAGATTGTGTTGACGAATAATTCAATAAATAGATGGTATATCGGTCATGCAAATTAGAAATAACAAAAAAGTATCCCTATGATTCTTTATTCTTATAATCTATTCATTTGTTTACTGGATATATAACAAGAAACATACCCGACATCACATCTGCGATCCGCGTAGCACAAACAAATTAGAACTGAGTAATATTAGAATTCATTTAGCATTCAACGTTATCAAATTAAAACAAAATAGGCTATCTGTCAAGTGGGCTGTTTGATTGTTGATCATCTTCAATGTTTAACAACACTTGGCTAATTTAAACTTTTTCGAATAATCAAAATCAAACAGCCTGACTGAGACTGAGCCTGAGACTTAAACCCTATTACTTGTGTCATTGAGTTAGTGTTCGACTACAAAATATATTAATTTATCATCAACAGCCTTTACTAGTCCACTGCTGGACATAGGCCTCTCCTTAGAAAGGAAGTTTTGGCCTACTACACCACGCTGGTCAGACGGGTTGGTATAGGGTTTGTGTCAAGTTTTCCTTCTCGCTGCAGTGCTTTTGTCCTGCGTACTTTGCTCCCTTAGTCGCCTCTTACGACACCCACGGGATGAATAGGGGTGGTGACACGTTGTATTCTTAATCCGTATCTTAATACGGACTAATTTATAAACTGTATAAATTTATATGTAGCCAAATAATTTATGATTAATACTTCTAAATAATATTAACTGTTATTATAATAAGTGGAAGAGCCACGCTCCGGCACGAATGGGACAGCTGATACCACGGCGTCACAGAAAACCGTTGTTAAGCAAATTTTACGTTGCTTTTTACTGAGTCAGAGTCAGTAAGTCATTTCCCTGTTTCTTATGAGATGGGGGGGGGGGGAGACTCAAAGGGCGGAAATGCATGCTGTAACTCTTGAGTTACAGGTGTCCATGGGCGACGGTAGCCACTATCATCAGGTGAAACGTCTGATAAAGTCAAGACATAAAAAAGATCTAACGGATATTCAAGTCACATAATATCTATTCACACAAAATACCACCATAAAATGGGGTGATTAACATCGGATACTGACAACACTTTTACATAGTTCTCATCAATATAATTTACCTTTGGGTGTTTGAGGTTTGCCAGTTCTCGTGCGTCCGCCTTCGATGAAGAACTCTAGATTATTGCGAGCTGATAAACTGTTTAAGATGTATGATCTGAAATTCAAAACAACATAAAATTGTACAAAAAAATCAAGCAATGTCAATTGTAATAAATAACATTTTAACAAAATGAAAAGACAAACTTATTATTTTTTATGAAAAGAATAATATCGACCAATGTAGAAAGCAAACAATCCATGTTCGGTTATGTGACTGATGCTGTACAATGATATACAATCTTTATCTCTCTATCAAAGTAATTCATTGTCACTTTATTCTTTAATGTTCTGTATTGGTTTATTCCAAGTATAGCTCAGAAGCCTAATTGTCGTAATAAAAGTTTGGTCACAATTCGTTGTGAGAGCGAAAGTTGATCGGAACTGAATTGAGACCAAACTTTTATTACGAGAATTGGCCTTCTTAACAAGAACGTAATATTTTAATCACCTGAGTGCTGATTTGTATACAGGGTCGCTCTGATAATCTGATCCTTCCACTCGTCGGCGTATGTAAAAGGCACCGCAGCCACGTAAGAACCAACTGTAAGTTTCAAAATATTTTTTAGGCATATGGTAAATAATATTAGCTTAAACATAGTATGCTTTTATAAGTCCGTGGGGTGACGGATTAAGAATCACCACCCCTATTCATCCCGTGAGAGCCGTAAGAGAGGCAAACTACGCAGGACATCAGAACAGCAAAACTTGAAACAAACCCTATACCAACCCGTTTGGCAAGCGTGGTATAGTTGGCCAAAACCTCCGTTATAAGGACAGACCTATGTCCAGCAGTGGCAGGCAGCAGTAGGCATACGACGTAAAAAAAAATTAGCTCTATTAGATTTACGACTTTTTTTTTAAATTCGTATGATACAGTGGAAACATTGCGTATCTAATAAAATCAGATAGCATTATCTCATGATCAGTTGGTCACTATGTTTATTTTGAACAACTGTAGTGTAGTTAACTTTCAATAGCATATTGAAGATAAGGTTGACGGTAGAGGAATACCAAGGCCAAAATAGCAACCCTTTGAATTTCTAACCTTTTGATAAAAAAATGAAACTGTTTATATTAAGAAAAATTGATATTAATTGAAATTAAAACGTTTTCAAGTGACTGGGTGTCATTGAAATAGCGGCAATTCATAGTAACGATTTGTCAGAAAATTTCCATCGATTTTTCTGACACACGCCCCTCTACCGAAACACTGATTTAATTATGAACTGTAAATTACACACATTATAACATGATGTACTTACCCAAAGAAAGGTATTCTCATGTTATCACCGGCAGCAACAAGCGGCGGCCTCAGACCCGTCAGATAAAGTGTGAACGACACTAATATGTAGTCGAAGTGAGATCGGTGAAGTGGTACGAATACTAGTGGCAGTCCTGCGGCGTTGGCGCGACGCAAACGGTCTACGCTGGCGGCCCGCGTAGCACAACCACCGCCTGCTACACGACGGATTGCCTTATGGCACACCCATGAAACAAATCTAGAAAGGAATATATATGTTTTTATTTATAGTATTTATCACCAATTTGTAGTTCACAACTGTTCAGTTCATTGTATTTATCACTAACTATCGAGACCCGCGGTGTTACCCGCGTTTGTTGTTATAACCGCGGGCAACGCCGCGGGGCGAAGCTAGTCTAAAAAAGTAGCCTAAGTTACTCCTTATGTCATCAGCTATCTGCCAGTGAAAGTCCCGTCGAAATCGGTCCAGCCGTTCCAGAGATTACCCGGAACAAACAGACAGACAGACAGACAAAATTTAAAAAAAATGATATTTTGGCATATGTACCGAGTAAACATACAATAATATGCATTTAGTAAAAAGCGGTTATTTTAATATTACAAACAGACACTCCAATTTTATTTATTTGTATAGTGTATAGATTTGTACTAATCGACTTAATCGAAAGATTACTTAAAATTTATTTCCATATTATTCTCTGACTTTCGCTTTCATGCATAATTCTAGTAATGTAATTCATTCTAGAATTCAGAATTCCATTATAACTATGTATGTACATTCTGTAGACGCCGGTAGAACTTTTTATCTTTAATTTGACAGCATTGATATTATCGTAGTGATTTAAGCGATCACCTCGCCGCTACCTACTGCGCTGTGTGTTGTGGGTTCGATCCCCACATGGGACAACACTTTGTGATCCAAAAATTGTATTTCTGAGTCTGGGTGTTCTTTGTGTCTGTTTCATATATGTCTCGTTCCCTGAGAGACAGGATTTACTGCTAGTGCGGGAGCTGTATAAAAAAGAATGAATCGAGGACGTTTTTAGAGTATATCATAAAAGCTTATTTTATATGTCTAGATGTAGGTAACTCGTTAGTTTCCATCTTGTCTACCTAAAGGGTTTCTAGCGAACGTGCTCCTCACCAGCAGAAATTTTACATTCCATTCATTTCATCCTACAGACAAATCCGGCTGCGGCTTATTGTAAAATTGACCTTACATCGTTCAGTTCATACTTCCAATTTATTTTGTCAATAAGGATATTTTTACAAAAAAAAACATTTAATCATGCAATAACAATAAAATAACTCACTTGAGCACATTATTTGACATCGCCGAACTGATATCCTGAATGACCTTGAGCGCCCGCGCTTCTATTTTTCGTCTGACAGTTGTATAATCTGCTCCTTTTTGGTCACTCTCCCTAGCCTGCCGCAATTCTTCCTGAGTAGCTTCTTCTATCGATTGTTGGACACTATCATCTTTTACCACCTGCAAATATGAAAAGAGAAGATCAAACCAAAGCTTTATTTTCTTCTGTGCACTTACATAGTGTTTATCTGCTAACTTCAATAACTGTGTAAACCTACTGTGTTATCTAATGGTTTAACTGTTAATACTTATTTATATACTAAAACTCTAGATCTTAATTTCTTTCATTCTTAGTTTTTTTGCATTCGTACTTATTTACTTTGCAAAAAATATAATAAGCAAGGTTGACATTTAAGTCGTTGATTTTCTACCTTGAATGCTGTTTTTGTGATATAGCATTGACAAGGTTACATAAAAGTACATTATAACATAATTCGCTTTACTAAAATTGCTTCTAGCAGAATAAGAATTGTAGAAATGAATGAGGTAATCAAAAGAACATTATTTATGACGAAAGAAGCTAAATAGCCAGAAAACTTAGATAGCTATTATAGTTCTAATGTTTAGAAGAAAAATGTATATTTGGTAAGTACTTACATTTGGTACAACATCCTTATAGTCGTACAAGTTAAGGTTACAACACTGGGCTAAATCGCACAAATATCTGGAAACTACGCCACCGTTGGCAAAGTTTTGCCGTCCGATATCCAAAATGTTGATCACTGAACCTGTGTCTGTCGATTTTCCATCCTGCCACGACTCCTATTGACAAAACAAAATGTAAAATTAATAAACGTTGAATCGGTTAGCAATAAAAGGATGTTGCGAGTTGATTACAACAATATTTCTGTAACCATTCTATGTAGAACTAGAAATAAAAAGTTCTTCAGCTCCAAATAGTTAGAGATTTTGTTTCATTGCAGGATTAATTAAGGGTCTAAAATGAAATTCTTACATTTGAACTATACCTATGTATTCAACTAATTTTGCAGCTCAGCAAAACATTCAGATGGCCTGATATTGAAAACACCGTGTGTTTTTGTTGATTCGCTGCAACATGGCGCTGTATGCTGATAGAATGGTGCCCCGAATTTGTTTCTAAATCAGTTTATCAACTACTCTCCGTGTACAGTGTACTTAAGAAGACTTATGAATATACGCTAGGTTTCTCCTAAAGTATGTTAATAATAATTATAAAAGGCTAGAAACCAAAAATGCCTAGCCCTTAACTGCATAATTGCCTTATAGCTTTGTCATTTTCTTGTTCAAAGAAACCTTTTCATTTGATTTATGTGCTGTCTCTTTTTGCATGTATTCTGCGTTATAATGCTTTGAAAACAACAAGCATAGAAACCTGCGACAACTATTAATCAAGTGTGAGCTATTTGTGTTTCACATTTTGTAGTTTTGACTTTCTGTGGTACTTTGTGTCCATACGTACAGTTTCTCGTGCTACTTTATATTACCCTAGTGTGAGGAATTTAAACTCGTAGATTAAATGGCAAGTTTATTGTACTACTATTATAGTAAGGAGCCCATGATGCTAAATGCGGATTTACCCGAGCGTCATAGGGACCTATTTCATTTGAAAGATTAGGTAATAAATAGAATAAATAAAGTTATATAATGTTTCCACATTGAGCGCTGGGAAAAGCTTCTACAGGTTTTCAAAAATGTAAGATGAGGGAATCTAAAAAGAAATATCAGATATTTTAGAGATATGTTATTTGGATGCCAAAAACGTTCCCATTGAAAGGTCTGACGATTTTAAAGTGACATAAGCTCGTGGCGAATTATCGAAAATGCAAACTACAAATTCTAAAAATCGCCATTTCGAAATACCTGAGCGTATTAGATTTTATACATAAGGTCCAGCTTCATGATAATCTCATACTACCGAAAAATCTGTCGATAATTTGCAGGGTATTTTAAATTATACTGTTAGAAATCTTTTTAATTTTTATAAAATGTGACAAATAAAGGCACGAAAAATTATGTATACATTTAGAGAAGATTTCTTGCATTGTTTGCGTCAAAATAAAAAAAATGTCAAGGTCATGTGTTTTTTTTTGTGACCCTCCAACTGCTTTATATCAATCGTCAGATTTTTAAACACAAATGTGTATGTTGACTAAACATATCTTAGTCTTCCACGCTCGAGTATTTCTGGTCATCGTCTGATGGGCTGCCCTAAACGCTCCCCCTATATGTAGGGCTCATGTATGGTGGAGGTACTCAACTGGGTGTAAGGTTTCCCTCCTTATGTTAATCTGCCATGCTTGAGTAAATACCGAAATCCTTTCTAGGGTTCCCCTACTATTCAATTAATGTATGCACAAACTGATAGAAACGGAATACTGAATATCTTTTTATATTCAGACAGACAGAAAGTGTTCTTAGCCAGTGGTTGGAACATCACGTGTAATTATGTTGATTAAAATCATGTAACGGTGCAATGTACCGGATCATAAGATACCGCATTGGTAAATATGTATTGACGATAGCGATAGAAGTAATTGATGAGGTGTAGGCGCACAATATGTATAACGCGTCTATCGACCGTTTTAGAACAGCAGCGCAGTTTTATCTTTGTTTGTCTTATGTGATATTTAGTTGAGACTGTGCAGTTTGCGATATGCAATGAAGGGTCCAGAGAGTGGGTGGAGTAAAATGATGTGCATTAGCAAATCCATTGAAAGTTAGTGTATGGGGTAGGTACATCATCATCATCATTATCAACAACAGCTTAAAACAGTCCATTGCTGGACAAAGGCCTCTCCTTATAAAGGAGGTTTGGGTCTAATATACCACGCTGACCAGACAGGTCATATAGGGTTGTTTAAAGTTTTCCACCCACAATACTCAGCAGTACTCGGCGTGGCGACCGCTTAAACCACTACGTTACTTAAACCAGTACGTAGCATGTTCTCCCAATTGCAAATATGTTTGTTCGAACAAGTATTAAGAGATTTACCATGGTTTTTAAGATCATAGATAGGAGTTGTAAAGTTATTTTCTTCATTTTAAACTATTAATCCCAAAATTTTAATATACACCTCTTTCATACCCATAACAACAACAATATCTTTCATTTGATATGTCACGCATTAAAATAAGTATATATATAGGCAATAAGTCTCCTATAGGAGTACCTAAATCAACTTTCACGAACAAAAATGTCCCACAATTAATACCATTGAAAACAGTTTTTTGGAATGGTCTTTTTTTTGCACATAGTGAGATTATATATATACGAATAAGTAACGATAGTAATAGGAAGATTATACCGTGAGAGAATATTACTCATTACCAGCTGTGGTTACGATAACTTACATGTAAACAACGTGGCAACTGACGAGAAAATTTCATAGAATATTGATGTTATGTATTCCAATACATATTATTTTGAATGCAGAAAATTAAAAACGGTGGCTGATGGCTTGTCATCACTTCAGTTGCCGACAATGCTGAGAATGCATTATCAAGTTGCATTCGTGTGAATAAAATATAATATTCAGAGATACAACTGATCAAACAGGATATTTAATCAAAGTACGTCAATTATATTCAAATCTTTTTTGGAGCAGTCATGAGGTTATTTCTATTTACGTTGAGTTTAGCGTTACTAAGTAACATTAGAATATTTACCTACAGTAGGTATATAACCGAATATCTAATGATAGTAAATATCATTAGATATTCGGTTACCAATGTCGATGGATACTCGAAATACTGCATGACAATTTTCGTTACCAACCTACGCCTCACTTGCCATTTTTACTACACTAACTCTTAGCCAGGTTTAAGTTATTTCATCTGTCATACAATTATTTTGCAAGTTCAAGCCGTATTCACCTTTTTTCAAAAGTACATTGACCTGCCTAATCGGTTTGTAAAGTAAGAACGAGTACCATTTAATTGATTACAAAGTGAAACGATACCAGTTTCTAAATTATAATTCTAAAGAACATTTAAGTATAGATACTTTGCACTTCGAATACTACTTTTTCATGCAACTGGACTATCTTTTAAAAATGTTTCTATCAAAGCTATTGCAAAAAGAGATTATGACAAATCACCTACCAGTTGCCAAGGAACCACGTGTAGGTACCCTAGAAAGGAAATTCCTGGTAATTATGACAAATGACCTGCATTTTATTTCTGTCATATCTACAAAAATTAACAAGGTACTCGTATCAATACTTGGACTTGACAAGCAACAAAACTTTAAGAATTACGTCATTTCCAATGTCAAGGCCACCTATAGAGACCGACAACCGAAATATGCGTATGTTGACATGTGTAAAACAAATAACGGTATTGTACAAATACAAGCTTTGGTCCGCTTTAGTCTGCGCCGGCTTACACGGCAGACGCTTCGCTCATACTTTTATTTTAATATTCATACCTATACTATTGCTATTTTATATTTGTTGGGAAGGGTTATAATGAAAACTAATCAGATTATTTTTGGGATTTAGTCGTCGCCCCCTTGACAAATGTGTTCCCTAACATGACCACTGGATTTATTATGTTTGATAAATGATGAATTCTAATTCTACTTTGTGTACCAACTCATACAATTATACATATATTATATACGCGCATCTGGGAAACAAAAAAAAACGATTCTGATAAATAAGCCAATAGATTTAAAAAAAGGAACATAACAGAATAATCAGGCATTTCACTCATTTTGGGCTTCAGAAGGTTAGATTGAATTTCCTATCATATTAGAACCCTCACGCAACATGGTTGTTTGTAAGTTAAAAATAAACTCGGCGACTAGTTAGGCAAACACGTGTTCAGGGGCACACGAGAATGCGAAAATTGCGACATTTATAAATATACAATTCAAATAATAAGAGATTGAAGTTCTAGTTTTGGTCATAATAATTTTGCAATACACTATTAATTCGTGTTGTGTTTTCTTTTAGAAATCGTTTTAATAATGTCTCTAATTCTCGTTTCTAAAATAAATTGAAATAGGTAAGTATCTGTTAGGTAGGTAATAGGTTTACCATTTTCAATTTTAATTACTAGAATAATTAAAATTACATTCCCGAGTAGGTATTTGCGTCAGCCTACCATACAACAAAATCAAACTAGGTACACTCGAGTTCTTTAATATCTGATCATGTTCATGAATCAAAAATATATGGGCAATGGTATGTTGCATAAAATTCTAAACAGCTTTGCCTTACAATAACTTGTAAACACTCCGTGACATCATTAATATATAACTACATAATTTAACATAATATCGCTACAGACAAATACTCTAAATATTCTGCGCAATCCCTTGTTCATTTTTTTCAGCTCAAAGTGAGGTTCGTAAATATCTATGCAAATTTTCTATGATATATATTTTAACGTCTCGATTTTTTTCTTAAATTCTTTGATTAATTGTAACAATCTCCTTACAAATATAAATCCCATTGTAACAATGGCGATTAAGTCAAAATTATTTTTCTGAAAATGCAATTTGATGTTGACGGGTATCAATTTAGTGGACATCTTAAAAGATTTATTTTTTCCAATCGCTAAAACTGTTTATCCCGATGGTCATAGAATCGAATTTGTACAGGAAGGAAGTGGCGTCCACAATGTAAGAAGGGGTGGATAGCTTAGCAAGAAAATTTGCATTTAATTAAACTCCTGCCAAGAAATCCTGACCACTCCATTGAAAATTTATGGGGTTTAATGGCTCGAAATTGGGACTCCACGTGAGTAAATATCTCATTACAATAGAATCAGTAACC